TTGGGCTGGAAGAAGAATCAGCTAACAAGAATCTGGTTATCTCTCTGCTTACTTTTTGTGTCTGAAGCAAGATGGGACTGCTCATTAAGCATTGTAGGCTGTGTACAGTGGGGCATTTTTCTGAAGATTACACTTCTTCTACTCACAAAATAATTGCAAAATACTCAGGCGAGTGTTACAGTGTCCAATTTGTGTATTTTACGATCATAGGTCATCAATGTCACAATTGCATGAAGCATATAAAAGACAAGTATAAGCAAGTGTATAATTTTCTTCATGAAGGGGCTATTTTTAACACTAAAAATAATTAAATGGCAAAATATCAGTTCTGTCAGAATAACCCATCATTCTCTATTGCTATGTTTCACTCTCCTCTATTTATTTCCCTCCTGTTTCAAAGTTACTTTTGGACTTGTGGCTTTTTGGCATGAATTTGTTGTGAAGTAATGTTGGTGAAAGTTTTCTTCTAAGAAGCAAAAACAGTTGTAGATTTTTCTGCCATGTCACTTCATGTTAGCATCTGTTGCTCTGAGTTTTGCAGAGAAGACATCAGAGGAATTTTAAAAGGTCTGTTCTGTTAAATCTCAGTTACCATGGGTCTTTTGTTTGTTTGGCCCAAGATTATCGTGAAGACTCATAATTTGGACATCTTGCTGCCAATTTTTAATTTGGGTTATTCTTTCTTCAGTAGAGAGAGATGTTGAAGTAGGGGTGACTACTGATCTTGCTTTTCCTCCAGACAGTCAGATGTATTATGATCTGTTGGGAGAGAAAGGTCGGTTGATGAAATCATTTTATAATGATTTCTCTGTTGTTTTTCATGGCTGACAGAAAACAAATAATAAAAGTTTCCTAGCTTCATGACTGTAATGTTTTCTAAATGTCTGTATCTGTGTGTTGGAAAAGGATTTGTCTCGATGCTCAATTATTTTCTTAAGATTCACATTAATCCTAAAAGTGTTTACTCAGATGTGATGAGTTACAAGTGGATGAAATTACATTGTTGTCAGATTGACTCATGGTCCTGCTGTGCTGCCTCACTTGGGGATGTTGACTTTCATCTTTGCAGAGTTAGCTCCCTTGAAGACCTGAGTTTTACACAGATGACATATCTGCCTTGTTAGAGGTCCATATCTGCCTTGTTAGAGGTCCAGAGGGTTTTGGTAGCTGGACTTTGAGATGATAATCAAGAATAAGGAAAACAAAAGGACTGGGGGGTAGGACATCTGGAAGGGAAGGAAGAGTAATACCTATCTCTCTGACTTAGTCTTGCCAAAAAAGTTGTGCAGGGTCACTAAGCAAGATGAGGAGAGTGGGGAATGTTTTAGGATGTATGAGCTGGCAAACAGTTTGAAATCCCCTGATGCCATGTAAAGCATTATCCCAGCAGCTGAACCATGTGGCAGTGAAAAATTATCTGGTGTCATTGTATGTCTTATGCAGTCAACTGCGCTTCAGTCTCTGACTCTTAATGTCTTTTATAATTGATGAAGAGAATGTTGTTTGGTGCCTGGAACATGCTGCATCCTGGTGTCTCCCATCATTCTGTGTAAAAGGGGAAAAGTAATTGCTTCTCTGTAAAGCTTTTTCAAGTTCTGTGATTGCTAATAGGATTGTGATTATTGGAAGTTAAGTTTTATTTTGTAGCCTTCTAAACCACTTTAATCCTAGCAAGAAGAAACTGCAGATGTGAATGAGTTTATAGTGAAAACCTCTAAAAGAACAGTGTGTTTCTGAACATTTCTGCATAATTCTGTGAGAGTTTTCGCAGCAAGATGAAAATTGTTCCTTGCTCAGCATTCTGCTAAATGCTGTTCATTGCCAATAGCTCAAATAGCCCAAATACCATGAGGGCTTCTTACTAACCTATAACTATGTTAATGCCTTTCTTGCCACAGGGGTAGTTTCTCCCAGTTAAAAGCCAAAAAATTGCACACTGCAGAATGCACACCACAGATATTGCCAAGAAACTGCTGCTGCAACTTCCCTGTGAAAATGAAGCATTATTTACAAGGTTTCCTTGCTTTGGGGAAAACTTTCAGTGGAAGCTAGTTGCTGTGAAAGGAAAATCTGGTGTGATAGAAGTGTTTGACTGGGTTCAGGTGCTTTGTTGTACCTTCAGGTAGGTGCACAGGATCTGCAGAGTAGTTACAAAAGTCAGTTTTTTAGTAAACACTCTGTTACTTTGAGCTTTATGGAGCTCTGAAAACAGTTTAAATGGGCTGTGGGCATGGAGAGAGAATGGTCCTTCTCAGAGACTGGCATTTCCAGTTCTGGTAACATAAGGGTCAGTTATGCTTGGATACCATTTAGGGTTAGCCTGCCTTCAGAGTAAGAGTTTGGTGTGCCTACCATTTAATAGCTACTGGGTTTAGATAAGATAGGAGAGATTTGTGTCTTTGAGTCCTGAGGAAATAAGACTAAGAATCAAGTCCTAAAGCTGAAGATGTTGCTTTAAACTCCTAATCAGATTCTAAAGTAAGATTGACTTGACAGTAACATACATTGCAGGCTGGGTTGGAAAAGGAAGAGGGGTGTTTTATCTGCTCTTCCCAGGCAAGAGCTTGTTTTTATCTCCTGGTGACTTTTAACTGAGATGAAGGAAAACAGCATGTGTGTCTCAATGAGCTTAAGCACATTCCCTAGGTAAGAAGTGCTCAGGAAATTCATCATGGGGCGCAGTGTAATGACATGGTTCTGCTGTGTGGAATCAGTCTTGTAAATCCCTAGCCCAAGCTCAGAAGAGACCTTCCTGATCATGCTGTTTTACTGTTTGCGCAGAACGGGCCAAAGAATTTCCTACCCATACCTAAATTTATATATGTTGAGGCACAGGGGTTGTTATATTGTTTTACATTTCTGAATTTAAGCTTTCCCCTTGCAACTTAATATAATTCAAATGAATATTAATGCATCCTATAAAATGATTTCATTGTTGGGGAGAAAGGTGCTTACATGCCTTTGTGGCACCTGGGGTAATGGTAAGAGGAGGCTTGTGGGTTAGCACATCTTAACCACTGCTTTCTAGCCCTGTTAAGTGCCTGCTAGAAATAATGCTTATATTGCGTTTTATACCTCTGAAAGTGAAAGGTGTCTCTGCCTGTGGCAGGGGGGCTGGAACCAGAGGGTCTCTCAGGTCTCTTCCAACCCAAATCATTTTGTGTTTCTATGTGGAAAGATTGCTAAGTGAGAAGTTTTGCAGTGCTGCTGGGAGAAGTGAGCTGTCACTCATTCAGCTCCTCATGCTGTCAGCTTTGGAACTTGTAGACAAATATTGGCATGAGCTCTTGTTTTGCAACAGAAGCAGCCTCTGTACTTGGGCTTTGCCTTGCGGCCACCCTTTGGTCTGCTATGAAAAGAACCTGCCTCGGCTCTCCAAGGTGCTGTAGCTCTTTCCTCTGGTGATTTCTGATGTGGTTACAGTTTTCAATGGAGAAATTGCTGGCAGATTGAAAATGTGTGGCAGTGTCAAATGGACTGGTGCTGCAAAATGCACACAGAAGATCCTGCTGATGTGGTTGTACTAGTTTACATTTAGTCTTTATGTCTAAAAGTTATGACTTTATTTTAATTGTAACAGAGCAGGCAAAGAATCAACAGATTGCTGCCCTTTCAAGCAACAACAGTTAAGGCTAAGCTTATGTCACAAAAGACTGTCTGGGCTTTGTCATCTCTGAAGACAGTCATGAGTTGTCTAAAGGCAGGAAAAAGTTGCACTCGTAGCTATGTTCCAGTTCCACAGAGATCTCTGCAAACTGTATTTAGCTTGTGAGGGTGTAACAACGGTATTTATTTCTTGAATAGCACCAAGAATGATATTACTGTGTGTTTCAGTGCCTAAAACATGGAGTGTTTTCTCCATTAGCTTCCTTATTGGCAGGGCATGTGGTGTCCATGGCATAGCAAGGGCCTTGCCAAGACTTTGTGGTTATTGATCAGAATCAGCCAGGGCTGTGCAGAACTGGGGTAACAAAGTGAGCTCAGCGTAGAATGGGGCTGGCCAGGTGGGAAGAAAGCTGTTCTCTCACATGTAAGAGTAAATTATAGTTTGGGCATTAGAAAGATATTCCCAGTGCTAAACACCAGTCAAATTAGTGTAGACACATAGCATTGTTTTTGTCTGACCATCTCTCTTTTCACCTCGTGCTGAAGATGTAGTAGAAAAGAGATTTTGCTTTACATCTTTCATGTACAGTTCAGTTACGCAACTCTTTTGTTTGTTTCTCTCCCCCTCTGCTCTCCTGTGTCCCACATCTCATTTTCAAACTGCCAACTACATCTATTGCTTGTATTCATCTAAAGTGGGAGGATTTCAAAGTACAGAAGCTTTGCCAAAGTTTTTTTGTGGCTTTTATTCAAGCTTGCTTCTTCTGTTTCTGTGGTTTACTTGGGGCTACACAGTCATCTACATGGAGATGGTGATCAGAGTGGAAAATACGGGCATTTCGTAATTGGCCTAGCAATTACTTCTTGTGCTGTAGAAAAAACAGAAACATAAAAGCCCTGCTCATGCTCAAAATATCTGGATGTTAGAACTCTTTTGAAGAAGCTCCTTATTATATTCTTTTTGTAGTGAACTGATAGCACATGGGTTTATTCCCTTGCACAACATTTCTCAAAAAAGCACTGCATCAGTCTATAATTTTTTTTTTTCCATTGTTCATCTTTTGTACCTCTCTAGTGGAATAGTTTTCTCTTTCTCCAGTTACTACTATTTTATATACAAGCTGTGTGGCTAACTGTATTTAAATGTGTTTGTAAGTGCCTCTGGCAGAAGAGTTGAGGCATCTCTGTTCTTGCATCTCTGCTAATTGAACTCAAAAGAGAGACCATGCTTGCATTTCTGACTGGCTCTGTTGGGTCATTGTTTAAGGGGCAAGATGGGAAAGGGGGCTGTTGAAGAGCTCTGGAATTCCAGAGTCTTTCCAAAGCTGCTGTTAATGGCGCAGGATGTTTTCATCTCTCCCTTCTCTTCTTATTCTTTTCTCTTTGCGTTGCAGGACTGCTTCAGTTCCTTCATGATGCAGCTCATGTCACAGCCCGACACAGCAGGGAATTGCTAGTCCAGGGCTGACTGGTTTTGACTGAGTCCTTGGGCTTGAATTCTCATGGACTTTGCTAAGATCAATGCTTGAACCTTTGAGAGAAGAGCCTTTCTGATGGTCCTGCTCCGCTCCACCTGACCCTATGAAAGGAGGGTTCACCATAGCTCTGTCCTTTGCACTCCAGTTCCACAAGATGGGCTCGTTCAGAAGGCCTCGACCTCGCTTCATGAGCTCCCCTGTCCTCAGTGATCTGCCTCGGTTCCAGGCAGCCCGGCAGGCCATGCAGCTCAGCTCCAACTCTGCCTGGAACAGGTGAGCAGGACCCACCTGGCTGAGCTCTTGCCCTGCAGCAGCTCCTCCATGAGGGTCATGTGTATCTTACGCTTGTGTTTCACACCATTTAAGACTAAGCTCATCTGTTTATAAGCATGCATGAATTTTTGGCATGTCCAGGCTTTGCTGGCATTGAAAGCATCTGTGGAGTTGAATAATTTAGACCTCCTAGTGCTCATTTGGTTTTGGCCAAAGTTTTTCAGCCATACTGTCTTGAAAAGCAGAATTGCTTTTTGTTAACAGTTGCATCTTTTAAGTACCATTTAGGAAAACACATTCCTAGTACTGTAATAAATGCCAGTGTATTAATTCACAAAGGCATGTATTTGCATATTATGAAGCTTTTATCACAGTCAGGTTCCTCTGATAACTACTAAGCTTGTGGCTTCTACCAGCATTTCCTATTGATAGCTAAATCCTGTCTGCTGTGTGTGTCATGTGGCAATGGCAACTGGAAAAACAGTGTGAAAGGTGAAGGATGAGATGTCCTGTGTCTTGATCCACTGTAATGGTCTGTTGCTACTAGAAGTGGGTGTTCCCACCTTCCCTTCTGCCACGTGGCACCAGCTCTATGCTCTGCAGGCTGTTCTTGCTTGCTGACCTTGCTCAGTTTACCAATGTCACACTAAAGTAGCCTGGCAAAAACATTGCAGTTTTGTGCCATGATAGTGAGCTGAGGTCTGTGAAGCATGCAGATGCCATAACTGGCCCACAGAAGGGAATGTCTGCTTAGGGAATGCCATCTGCCCTTGTTAGCCATGGCAAGTTTAGACCTGCTAAACCTTCTTGTCTGCTGTCACTTTATGACTTCCTCTGTGCTGGTGAGAGAATTAGAAGATACTCCAACAGCATCTTACAAGCATTAACAGGGCTCAAACTCAGATCTGACTGAGGTGATGCTGGCTGCAGAACATCTTCCAGCATGGCCAGGGTCTTACGAGATGATTCAGAGTGGATGATACACGGTAGGATCACTGGATAATGCAGTATGATGTGTTTGGCAGATATTACCAAAAAACATATGTCTCCTCATAGCAACTAGCCTGCAGCACACAGCAAAGAACCCCCAAACAGTTGTGTTCAAGAGACATCTGGCACGAGCAGGACCCCTGTAACAACTTTGCCTTGCTTACTCCAGGCAGAACTTGAGGTTGGTTCTGCTCTGTCTCCTAGGGGAAATGTAGGTAATTAAGAGTAACAATTTCAAGGTGAGAAAAAGTGGAACTATTTAAAGGCAATTGTCTTCACGTGGTTGTTATCTCTGCTTTTGGTGCCTTGCTCACGGTGTGCTCTGTGGTAAATCACACTGTTATTCATGGATGTCCTGTCTCATTTCTTTTTTTGGCAGTGTACAAACAGCAGTGATAAATGTGTTCAAAGGGGGAGGTTTGCAGAACAATGAACTTTACACCCTCAATGAAAATATCAGGTAGGTTGCTGAAATGCATGAAAATGGATTTTTGTTGCTGCTTGTTTGGTATTTGCTGGGATCTGTTGTCTTCAGAACCACAGCTAAAAGATATTGGTGGGAGGAGAAGGGATGAAAGCAAATTTAGGCACAGCTTTGGGGTTTCTGGCTAAATTACTTCTTTCTTGCTGTCGAGTGACATGAATGGCACAGGGTATTTGGATAATTTTTCTCCAACTTGTGCAGCTTTGATAAGGACAGGTTGTGTATTGGCTTGGATTGTAAGGCTTTTGTTCCTTCCTAGGAGCTATGCCTCTTTTGGATATGTTTTATACATAATAATATTGGCATCTCTTTTCTGAAACCAGACTTCTCAGAACTGTGGAGTGTTTAAAGTAAACCACAGCATTTCGTTTAAAAGCTTAATCTTCACATGATAATTGCAGAGCAAAACCTGAAAATAGGAACAGTAAAGATAAAAAAAACTAAAAGCCTGGCTCACATTTTTTGTCACTGATGCTAGTGATGGTTCAAAGTATCATTTTCTTTTAAAAGCAGGTTTCATGATTATCTGTGGTTTCATTCTGATTAGTTGGAAAGTTTGATTAGCAATAGATAGGACTGTGGAGTAGATAAAGAATTATTTATTCTTGCCTTGGTTCCAAGTGCTGCTGAGAGGAGTATTGTCAGAACTAATGGATGTAGGTTCCTCCTTCTCTTTTTACCACTGCATCCATATTAATTCATCAAGAGTGCTGTCACATGTGTCTCTGCATCTTCTTTTATATGCCCTCCCCTCATTCCTATTGCATGTTTTTAGGCTCAAAAAGATTCAAATGGCAATTTGAGCTAAGTATGTACTTAAACAACAGTCTAAACTACCCCTTTCCCCACTTTCAAAATAAATGCAGCTATCAGGGCAGGAGACTCTGTCCAATTTGGTCTAGTCCCAAACCCAAAAAGTTTAATATAATTCCTTTTGAGAGTTGAGCAAGGGCAGCATCTTGCACTTTAATGATATTTTAGTGTGTTCAGGTCAGAAGTCTTCAAGTTAGGTTTAAGTACTTGGAGCAGTCTTAATTCTCCATGGGATGAGTATCTGTGGACATGAAAATAAAAACAGATGTCATAAGGCTTGGGAAATATCTAAAGCCCCAGCTCACTAGCAGACTTGGGGAATGACTTTGGGCTTTGTGACTCGCCTGTTGCCCGTGGCAGTGGCTGCATCCTGCTTTTCCCCTGAAGTACAAGCAGGTGTCCTTCCCACCCTTCCAGGGAGGCAGTACACTGGGCAGAGCTGCTGTGGGGTCTGGGCTTGGCCCAGAGGCTGGACCGTGCTCTCTTCATGCTGGTGTACACTGGGCAGAGCTGCTGTGGGGTCTGGGCTTGGCCCCAGAGGCTGGGCCGTGCTCTCTTCATGCTGAAGTGAATGCAGAGTGGTGAAAACCAGGCAAAGAACAGGAAATTCTTTATGAACTGTGTATGCTTTGAGAGCAGTGCTGATGGTGGGAGGGGAAATGCCCTTTTCCACAGACATGCACTGCCAGGCTGGACTTGGAAGCACTCACCTTGAATTACATGATTAATGTTCCTGCAGGTGCCCTGAGCATTGGTTACATCTCCAAATGTCACTCTTTAAATAGACCATTTCACATCCAAGTGGCTCATTAATGCCCATCTAAGGAGCAAAGGACAGGGCCCTGCATGTGTGTTTGTATGAACACCTGCAGCCTCACACCTGTGGTTCTTGATGGAGCTCCCAGCACTGGGTGAGCTCTGTGCACAGGGTGAATCTCTAGCTTGACACTGGAGAAAAGCCAGACCTCTGAGACAGACAACTCTTGTGTGCCATGAAGTTGAGCTGGTACATTTTCCTCGTCCTTGTTTGTAATTCTCCACTCAGCCCCTGGGTTGTGGTTTGCAAATGCAGTAAGAGGCTCTCAGGTTCTTCACAATGCTTCATCGTTTGGCACAGGGGAAACATGGGACAGTTTTAAAGGATGGTAACGACCGGACCAGGAGATGAGCAGGTGGTAACATTTTGTTCTGGATTGCTGCCGCCTAGATTTTATCTTGATGTGATTTGATACAATCTCACTGGCTAATTTTTTTTTTTTTTCCTGCTCTGAAAGTCAGTTGTCACTGCAAGAGGAAATGTAAGAAATGCCTTTGGTAAATGGAATTCCTAGAAGTGGGAGGTGACCTCCTTAGGAAGAGACCCCCCCTTCTTTTCTAAGGTGCAAGCCTCTGGTTGCTGAGGAATTCCTAGAAGTGGGAGGTGACCTCCTTAGGAAGAGACCCCTCCCTTCTTTTCTAAGGTGCAAGCTTCTGGCTGCTGTTCTTACCTGCATGAAGTCAAATCCTGCTGGGCTTGTCAGTCAGCTGGTGGAGAGCCTGCTGGATTTGGCTGAAGCCAATGGAAAATTCTGACAAATTGTCCCCTTACCTGATTTATTGATCTCATAGGGCTTTGATATGGGTGGGTGAATACAAACACTCAGAGAGAGAGAGAAAGAGTAAAGGCATGCTGGCATGCAAATAAATGTAGAGGCATTGTAAAATGGTTAGAGAGGAAGGCTGTCAAATTTGACTTTGAGCAGAGATGAGGTAAAGTGGCATCATTTGGTGGTAAAAACCCAGCCTAACAACTGGATGGTTGCTGATTGAAATGCTGTTTTCAAGTGCTCTTGACTATACTTCACATTGGTAAAAAGCAAAACTCTTAGAACAGAAAACAAATTTGCAGTGTTAGGCATTGGAAAGTGTTGGGCAACCTTTAAATTTTAGGCAGAATTTACTGCTATAAAATTTATTCTCAATCACTGAAAGCTTAAAGTGCAAATGCACTGAACTTCCTATATTGTTTTTTCAATGCTGCCTCTAATGTAAAACAATCCTGATTTTTATAGAAATATGTATTAGAATTTAAAACTTTTATCAGCCTGATTTAAAAGCCAAAAAATTTCACCAGAAATACTTCTTTAGAGTGGCTTTGCCTGTATGTATTTAAACCAACTCTTGTTAAATTTCTAGAATTTCTTCCCTGGAAAATGTTCCTTTTTTTTTATTGTTTAAGATGTGATCGTTAAAATGTGGATGCGGCTTCTGCTTCATTTCTCCTCTCCTTATCCTCACCTTCTACATCCAAAAGAAAAGGAAGTACAATATTAGGGAGATATGCTATCTTCAGTGACATGAAAGGCATCATTGTTTAAACAAAAAAAGCACAACAAATTATGGATTTTAATCTAAATAACTCCAGATTTTCCCCCCAGCTTTCTGTTCATTCAGGGAAGTAATTTCTTTTTTTGCTTGTTCTAGGTGTATGGTTTATAATATTGAAGACTTCAGAGAAACTGTTTAAGTCCTTTATAACTTGAGAATAGCCTTTGTAAAATACATATGTAAGAGAAATCTGGGCCAAAAGGACCCATTCCCATACATTCCTACATTATCTTTGGTATGACTGGTAGTAAAGTGCAGACATAGCTTGTAGGAAATGACCAGCAGTGGCTGCTACTTCATGGCTCCATTCCTTCTGTCTACAGACGGCTGCTGAAGAGTGAACTTGGATCCTTCATCACAGATTACTTTCAGGTATTGCATGACTTGCTTGCTTTATTTTGAGGTTTGCTCCCTTCAGCTTTTTAGCCTATAATATAAAAAGATTCCTTTTTACATGTGTATAGCCTACAAGTTTTGTTTTTTTTTACTGAGGAAGATGATGGAGGTACTGGACTTTTTAAATGTGGGCCATATAGTTCTGGGAGTAACTATTTTTATTGATGTGAGTGCAGAATTAAGGATAATCTTCCCTTGCACTTAAGAAAGGCTGCTAGTAGTCTGCCAAGATCAACAAGGAATTCACTTGAAGTTTTTAAAGAAGATGGGATGCCTTTTGTTGAGTGTAGAAAATTCAAAAGGTTTTCTGCAACAGGGGCCGGTAAAGGGAAAGAAGAGAGATAATGATGACTGCCTGGAGGCAGGAGGGGGCAAAGAGAAGGAAGTTTCTATCAGCAGGAAATCAACCTGGGTGCTGTTTGCCTTTTAGTCCCACAAATATAAATGCAGTTTCTGAAAAAGGAAAATGTGTAAGATGAAGTAAGACTTGAACAATCACAAATGTGAGTACGTGTCGCTGTGTTTTATTGACACTGGCCAGATAGACAGAGGTTCACATGTAACCACATGAAAGCCTGCTGGATGGTTTTTAGAAGGAACTGATGGCTTTCAATGTTTTAATTTGTTCAGTTTAATTTGTTGATTATTTAAAAAAAGAAAGAAAAAAAAAAGATGGGCCTGCTGGAAACAAGAGGGTTTTCTTCCCTTTGAGTAAGAGAGAAAATTTCTGTACTTTCTGAAGCGGCTGATGCTGCCATGTGCGTGCTAACAGCTGAAAAGAGGAAAAAGAAGACTAGTGTTGTTTCCTATCAGATTACGTGATTTATTAGATTACATGACTTTAAAAAATCCCCCTGCTGTGCTATCAAGTGAGAAGAAAACTCCTGCCCCAGGGGTAGTTACGTTTCACTTCCTCAGCCCCTCTCTGCACAAGTTGTTTACTGCAGAGGCAGCTGCTGGCGGTGCAAGGCAGGATGTTTCCTAGACCCTGAGTGGGGTGGCAGCCACCAGCACTCACATTTAATTTCTGGGGTATTTTCCTCAGTGTCTAAAGGAGCAACTTGGCATCTATCAGACTTAGCCTGAGGTAAAACTCTTGGTGCAGGCAAGTTGTGAGACAAACTGTGAGATAAAGGCTATTGTCAGAAGTGAGATTTTCCCTCTGTGAGCTGAGATGCAGACTTATTTCTGATTCTAGACTAACGGCATATGGCCATGATAAAACTTACCACTCCCTCCTGAATGTCTTTCCTCAAAAATCCTAGGGCCGTGGAGTGGGGATAGACTGTTCATATGCCAAAGAAGGGCTGTCAGCATTATTTCATATGTCTGTGGGTAATGTTTCACTGCTGATGCCAGCTAAATTATGGCAGTACTGCTGCCACCAAGATGAGCAGAGTTGAATCAAGCTGCTGATTTGGCTGAAAAATAACCTTGAAAGAAAAAAACACAGTTTCCATCTACTTCCTTTGACGTGTTGTGGTCATCACCTCTGACATGGGGGAGGTGCTGGGAGTGGGTCACCAGGATGAGGAGCAGAGTGGAAGTGCATCTTTTGGCAGTGACTTCCTCTGACATCTGTTAAAGCCCACTGAAAGCTATTCCAAGAACCAAGTTTTCTGTCCTCTTGCATTGAAATGGACCCTGAAGAATATGCTCTCTGTGTAGCCAGGCAGTTTTAAATATCCTAGCAGCAATTAGAGCAAGTAACTGCATTATGTAATATTTAGATGTGATAAACTGACTTGAACATTTTCCATTACTTATATCATGGCACTTATAGCTGGAGCCACTAAGAGGAACTTTAAAATCACATTTGTTCTAAGAGTTGGGGATTTTACATTATGTAAATTTTATACTCACACATGCACATTTTTTATAATCATTGAATATTCAAGACTAAAATGGAACAGAGCTTTTATAGTGAGACAAAGCTACCTTTGTGATCAACTTGACTTAATTACTCACAAGTCCTTTTCATCAGCACTCATGCAAATTAACAGTTTTTAGCTCCTGAAATTGCTAAAGGAATGTTTAGGAAATGGTTGGAGTTTATGCAGTCTTTTTCTGCTACCAAGCCATCATCATACCAGAGTTAATGAGCCTGTTTTGTCTTTGAAAGAGAAATATAATTCCCGTAAGGGCTGCAGTGCAAACTCAGATGTTTCATTCTGAAGGAAAGTTGTGTTTATAAATCTGCCGCTTTAGCAATCCTACTGTATATACAACCCCTCTCCTTGGATTGAAGCCTGAGGGAAAATGCCAGATAGCTGGGGCTTGCAGCATTTACTGCAGATCTGTCTTAAAGCAGTGCTTCATGCTCCAGGTTTTCAGGATTGACTTTGCCCATGAACTGATTTGAGAATTTCTGAAAAGGGGCATTTGTACCTACCCCTCTGCTCAATAACCCAGCAGGGCAGCATTTGCTCTCACTGCTGGGTTAGTTTGCTGGTGATCAGCTGAACTGTAATAGGTGGAAATCCTGTGACCATGGAAGGCAAGAGGCTGGGATTTGGAGGAACAGGGTGTACTGGCAGTTGGGACTTCTCTGGTGCAGCTGTGTGATTTTTTCAGATAAGCTCCCTTCATTTTCCTACTGTCTGGCCCTCATGTTGATGGAGAAAAAGTTTTAAATATAAAATCAGCAAGTGTTGATAAATTGATGTATTATCTGCCTGATAATACAACAGCCTGAAACAAAACCTCTGGAAGGGATGAATTGTGTCTTTTCACTCTGTATGGGCTTGTTAAGCTTGAAACTCACGGGGGGCAAAATGGAAATGCATTTATGTCTATTAACTCCAAACTCTCTCCTCCCAAGGCATAGGGACCTGATCCCTTCCCAGGGAATGTAACCTCTCCCAGAGCCCATAGGCTGCAAATGCAGAAAGTCAAATGCCCAGAGCTGATGCCTGATGTCCACTCCTCGCACTGGCGGAGCTGGTAGGTGAGGAATGGCAAGTGGACTGTGTGTCCTCATCTAATCCAGTGAGACCTTTGATGTCTCAAAACGAGAGGCAAGCTGTTACATAATTTCCAGGCTGCTGCAGTGGAGAGCCAGTGGAGGTGGCAAGTCCTTACTCAGAATTAGACCCAGCTTTCTGTTTGTGCGCCAACTGTGGCGTGAAGCTGTGGCGTGCGAGAGCACACATTGCTGAGGTGTCAAGCAAAGTCCAGGCAGCAAGGTGATAATAAATAGCTAAAAAGTAAGTGGTGTCAGCAATGAGGCAAGCCTGGGTCCAAACCAAAACTGATTTTATCTTCTGCCTTTAGAGCAGTCAGTAGTGGTGCTGGTGAACCGTCCTGTGGTCAGAGTCCCTCTTGCTGTAGGCTCCGCAGCTGTGGCTGCAGTGCTGGGGGGAAACCTGCTCTCCTCCCTCACTTGTGGCACCATAAAGCTTTTTTTTTTAGGTCCCCACTGCATGTTTTCCTGGAACTCCAGCCTGGAGAGATGACTCCAGCATCTCTCATGATGTTTGCTCGCTCCTTTGAAAGGCTGCTTTGTAAAGCCTAGCTAACAGCTGGAAAGGCCATGTGGCTGCTTAGCCAAAGAGAAGAATACAGGGGGTGTGATGCATCCTTCCCTCATGCCAGGTTTCTGTGTCTACCTGTTTCACAGCAAGGCAAGGAAATAATTGTGCAGAATATTACAGTGATGGTTACTACTGGATACAGGCAGCACCAGCTTTTCTCTGGCCAAGTGCTGTCTTGTGCCTGCACAAGGAACAGAATTCACATTTGTGTGATTTGCAGAGCTCAGCTGTGTGTCTGCAATACTCTTTTGGGTCAAGCTGGTCTTTATTATTGTATTTGTCTCCTCATTGGCTGGGAACCTCTGTTCTTGCAGGTCTGCTAATTATTTCTGCTTCATCTGGCACTTTCTAGAGCAGCTTTCGTGGGAACTCCATGGCAACTGCCCAGGTTTGTTATCATGGATGGAATCTCCCAGCAGCTCAGTACTGCTGTCGAGCAGAGGACCTAGTCCTGGGTGGCAGCAGGGACACCTCCTTTCAGGCCCTGCTCTCATGGGCGCTCTGGATGTGTGTGAATCCTTCCAAAGGGAGCCAGGTTGTTCCCACTCAAAGCATGGCAGGGTGCCATGGCCTGGCTGAGCAGGATCCCCCCTGGAGCAGTGACAGTCAGGGTGAAGTCAGGAGCCCTGGCTGTGGGATTTTCCCAGAGCTCTGCCTGCCTCGCTGTGGTCTAGACTGTAACAGTGCTGCCTTCTTGGTCTGCCTGGTCTGCTCTCCTTCTTACTCTCCCTGCCTCACTTTCATCTCTTCAAGTGGGCTTTCTCTTTTATATGTTGTGAGCAAAAGCAGCTCTAGGAAGAGTCATTTTAGGATGTGATTTCATATTTATCTTGCGGTTTCTCCTCTGTGTGGGATCGAAGTGATCTCTCTGCTTGTCAGTATTTCCCCTCTTGTTAGAGAAAAAAGGATGGGGGTGGGAGGGTGCTCTAGATATGAGATGCTGCAGCTCACACAAATTTGTATTTTGTGAAACACTGCCAAGAATTAGGTAGATGTTTGTGTGCAGCTGGCAATAACTTTGTAGAAAGTACTTGCCAAGTAAGTTTGGGCGATGCTTTTTTTCTCAAATTAACATCAGATTATCCACAAAGCAGTGTCTCTGTGCTTGTAGAGCCTATAAAAGCATGGTTTAGCACTAGAACACAAAGCCTCAGTGGCCTATAAAACAGGATGCATTTAAGAAATGCTGTAGTGTTCTGTAGAAATTTTTTTTTCCACCCAGCAAAATGAGGTCAATTAATTTGAGTATGTTCTGGATCCGCTTGAAGGTCTGCTTCAAGCTTACGTTTTTTGATGAACTAATATTAATTTGTTAATTTGAAGGTGGCTTTTAAAAAGCATACTAGCCATGTTTGGCTTGGAGACATTAAGGGAAAGCAGAATTTATCCATAATTAAATGGATGTTTGTGTAAACCTTTTTCCCTCAAAGGTAATGACTTATTTGTTATTAGCAGGGGAGTTAATTTGTACCTTGCTGTACTGCAGACATGGCATTCTGGCAAGATGTGAAGTTGCCTGTGATGGCTTGAGCCTCCTTGATCTTTTCTGTGGAGTTGCAGCCAAAGCTACTCAGCTGCTTTTCACCAGCCTTCTGCTCGCATATAGCACTCACAGCAGAGCAAGCTGTGCTGGTGGCATGGCTGTCACCCCAAAACCCTTCCTGTTGGCTCTGTCTGGAGGCTGGCACCACACACGTGCTGCTGAGTGAGTGCTTCTTTCTGACGGGCAGCATCTGATTTGCCTCAGGCACAGTCCGATGGGTACCATTTTGCCCAGGGGTACTGGGGGTGTGCACAGGAAGGGCCTCCACTGGGAATGCCCAGCTCCTGCGGTGGGGGGAGGGAGGGAGAAGGTGCTGGGCACCACAGGCACTGCTGGTTTGAGAGAGGAGCCCCCCAGCTGTTGTGCCTGGGACAGCTTTCACCTTCTGGGAGGATGGTGGGACTGGTATTACTCCATTGGGCATGCATGGAGAAATTTGCCTCAATTTTTCTAACAGGGAAGGGAAAGAGGAAAATATCTGTGCCAGAAAAAAGGAAGGAATTATCAGGAAAGTGTGTGGGTTTTATAAGGTAGTGGCTGACTGCCTTCAAAATTTTTTTTATTCCCAATGGTTTGAGTATGACTTACTTTAAAGAGTAGCAAACACAGACATGTTGTGAGAGGATCTCTACTGAGGAACAAATGAAAAGTGATTATTTCCACTTTAAATCCTTTCTTTAAAAACTTAGGGCATTTAAAAATTTACTTAAGAGCTTTCTTTTAGCTGCCCTTCTTACTGGTGTATCTGAGTCAGCTATTTTGGTTTTCTGCTCTGAGAAAAGGGCTCAGCCTGTGAGATTTCACAGGGTCACTTCTATCTGCTGCAAAACATCTCTCTCCAGATTTCTCAACTGCTCTTATGTGTTTTGAAGTTGGGACTTTGTTGCTCTGCACGGCAGAGTAGCAAAGAGTAAAGGCAGGTTTGCACCTCCCACAATGAGCACATAGCATCCCGTGGTGTCCCAGCAGCAGGGTGAGGAAAACACCCTGGGGAACCAGGAAGAGCTCATTTGAGGAGGGAAGGGAATCCCTGCTCCCCCAAGCTCCCATCCCTGTTCTGCTCTAACTGCAAAGAGATGGAAGGTGGCAGCTGAACTTTCTCAAATAAATGTACCTTTCAAGCTTACTTGGTATGAGTCTTTATCTGGTCTTGCTTTAAATGGAAGATTTATTTTTCCTCTTAGCTCTGTGCTTTCTGGGGATGCACAGCAAAATGAGACTTGTAATCTAGACAAGGTCTGATAGAGACCTCCACTGCAGCTGCATTGAGTAGCTTGTATTGATTTGTCAGCAGAGCCTGCAGGGTTTGTTAATGACAATTTGCCTGTCTGGCTTGCTCTGAGGGATTAATGTTTGGATTGAATCAATTCCTCAGCCTGTGACTTCTTGCAGAAAAGATGGAGAAGTAGCATTTCCAAATATTTTTAGGATGGGGAGAAGGGAAATGAAGTGTGGTTGATTTACTTAGCTTTTTTTTAAAGTCTCTTCCACAGGAAAAGGAAAAATCTGAGAGGATAAGTGAAAAGTCTGCAGTAACTATAGTAACTATACAGCCCTAATCTCTTTGTTAAGGAAACTTTTAGAGTGAGATTATGCAATGTCTTTAGCACATGGAATTGCTATAATCCATTCATAGGAGCATTATACATTTGTTACCATGGAGTAATGATTAATATATCTATTTTGCAATCGATATAGCTGTGCTGTCCATTAGCATGTACACATGTGTTCTTTGGTTGCTGACATAGCTGCAAAAGAAAAAAAAAATCCCTGGAAGTAAAAAATATCAATAATGTTAACTTTTAGGCAAAGTATCTGGCAAATTGTATCCAGAGTGGGAGACATGTAAAATGAAATCTAACATTCTACAGCAGAGAGAGAAGGAATTAATATTTCTTGAGAGAAACATAAGAAAATGAGCATCACGTCCTCATATGTGTGTGTATATATATATACACACCTTTATATTACAAAGTAGTTTAAAATAATACAGTATTAAAGACCAACTGTAAATTTCCCCTCCAGTATATGCGAAGTAATTGTCTTGAGCTACAGGTTGAAAAATAAAGAAATTAAGTACTTTTATTAATGAACTGAAAGCATTTGGAAGGATTAAAGTGCCATATCACTCCAACATTATCTATTGTTGAAGAAGAAAAATATTTATAGTGTAAGTGGGTTTCACTTTTTCTCCCCTTATCTTTTCTTCATTACAGATTTCTTTCTCCCTCCTTTTTTATGCTGTTGGTTTTTCCTGGAAAGTTTTTCTGTTGTTGTCCAGAGCATGATATGCGTAGTCATTTATTTCTCATGAACAAATCTAAAACTTGAATGGACATCCTAACAACTTAATATTTCCCTCCAAAGCCCATATTTCTGCTAGAGGATCTTCATAAAACAGTCACCTTCCACTTGTTGCTAACATTTGGAAATGTTGTAGTTTTTTTTCATTGTGTGAACATATTCATCCAGCTTGCTAATTCCTGTTGTTATTGCTTATGTGAAAAATATCTCCCAGGCTGAGAATGTCACAGAGCAGTGTTTTCTCCTTTTTATACCCAGCTTTGTGTTAGCTTCTTGTTGAAGGGAGGATGCAGAGATGTGCTGCTCTCTTGGCTTGGGGTGCTTCCGCAGATGCCTGTCTCTTTGTGAGGCTGAGCCATGCTGGTGTGTGGTTCCAGGAGGCAGGTTTACAATGCAGAGCAGCAGCACCAGGGCAGGATGCACTATGGCAGCTCACAGGGAGGCTGTGAGGTAACAGCAGTGTCCACTGGGAGTGGACAGAGGTGTGCCTTGCTCCTTGGCTGATGGAATGTTCAAAAGTGCAGCCTTGACCTGGTTTCCATTAAAACCAGAAACTGAACAGTGGGGGAGTCATCTCTGACTGTTGTGGGCTGCCTTGATATTGAATCCTTTCAGACAGGCAGAAGGCCCATATTCTCTATCAGTATGATCTCTGTACCTTTTTTAGGATGCAGTAATAGTGTGTTATGTGGTAATTGCAGTGCCTTTCTCTAGCATTCTCAAGGCTTTTCAGAATAACTGATTCACCTGGTGCTGTTGGGAGAACAAAAAGATAGGTGTTGTTTTTTGCACCATTCTTACATTTGGAGAAGTGGGAACAAAAAGCTAATCAGGTATTTGAATGTCCTGATATGCAAACAGGCATATTGATATCTTGATCTGTCTGGTCTGTGAGAGTTAAGTTTATCTAGAAAGACCAGGTCCTGCCAGTTCTGCAGCTTGACACTGCACACTGAGATGATCCAACTTCTCAATACAAAAAGAATGGCCTCATGGAAAGACAATAGGTAGGAATGGAGAAGTAGATGTTAGGGAGCTGAGCTTGGCCTACTGTGCAATTAGACAAGCAATGAGCAAGTGCAAAAAGAAGAGGAGAGTGGGACATTTTCATAGCATTTGACTCTTTGATTGCCTCCATCATGCAACTGAGTTATAGCATATGTGGGTGCACCATTATGGTAAGAACCATTTTATTTTCTTGACTCGCTCCCTGTGACCCTTCCCATTTCTGGGAGATGTTTCAGCTGCTGTTGCATTCTCATGTCTAACTGAACAAGAGGGGGTTAAGGAATGTCTAGCACTCACACTGAGACCAGTGCTGGAAGAAGGTACTGCAACATGACTAGTATTAAGATTAATGCATGGAAAGTGAGTAGTATCTGACAAAAATGCATTCTTTCATGTTCATTATAGATAAATAAAAGGCAAATGCATGTCTCTCTTTTCTCTTGGCAGAACCAGCTCCTTGCGAAAGGCTTGCTGTTTATGGAGGAGAAGGTCAAGCTGTGTGAAGGTAAGTATAGTAGGAAACCTGTTTTGGAAGGGAGTTGTGCTTTTATGTTTGGTCAGATGAGATGATTTGCATGTCTGGAAAGTATACAGCCCTGTCTGTTGCTGTCCTGGAGTGTCACACAGCCCCTCAGGAGCCCTTGTGAGGCTGAAGGGAGGGTGGGCTGTTGGAATAGCCCCAGAGCCACCATGCTCCCCCAGCCATAACTGCACCACAGAAGCAGCAACGTGGGTCTCGTGTGGCAGCTGAACCTGGACCCATGGCAGTTCTGGTCTGGACATGGATCCTCTTGCAAAACTGCTTGGAGCTGCCTTCTGCCTTTCACTTCTCAATGTGATTTGCAGCTTGATGTAAGCATAATTTTGGTTTCTCTGTCATGCCTTTGAGAGCTGAACTATCAAGCTTTGTGTAAATTTAAAGATAAAAGCCAGTCTTTTGTGTGAGAATGAAATCCTTCAGGAAAGAAGTTGATCACACATGGAGTTGTGTTCAAACTACTGCAGCAGAGCCTATGGGCCAAGGCAAGTGTGGTGTGGCCACTCAGTGCTGGACGTGTGGAGAGCTGCTCACATTTAGTAACTGTTTGCTCAAGCGAAGCCAGCACATCTTTATTCAAAACCAAGCTGCTGTTTGTTTTGACCCAGTTTTCTAGCCTGCAGGGAAGATCTCTTGCTAATCACCAGTGTGTTGTATGTGGGTCATTAAATGCCAATAGGTGCTTATAATCTCACGTCATTGCTGGGCCTGGATTCCTCTGCACCAATCTACACCAAGTGACTTCACCCAGCTGGCAGGCTGTAGGACTTGGGCCCCAAAGGAGTTAAGGGGTTGCCAGCCTCCTTCTTGGGGTATGCTTCTTCAGCATTGGCCCTGTGAGGGAGGAAAAAAGGCAGACTCCTGCATTTTCCAAATGTGGGTAACCTGCCTTGCAACTGCCAGCTCTTCAGAATGTACGCTGCACAGCTTACCAGATACTTTGGTTTCTGTATTCATATAAAACTATTCCAGGATCTGCTTTAGCATTATGAAAATTGAGTTTGAGTCTGCAATAAGCTGAGAACTGGCCAAGAGTATTTTGCAGATGCTCAGATAGTTTGGTGAGATGAAGTTTCCCAGGCAGACAGCAAAACATGCCTCATTTTTCTGTCCCTAGCTTGAAGTGACACTTGGAGCCACTTTGCTGTGCAAGCTGGCATCACTGCAGGAGATGACTCATGGGCACCTTTCTTTTATAATGTGTGGGCTTGTTGCAGATCTTGTGGTCACAGCAATGAGGATTTCTTGTACATGCTTCTTGGTTAGTTCTGTCTTCCTGGAAAACTTACACTACCCCTGCACCCAGACAGAGTGGCTGCAGGGCATGGCAGTGTTTCATCTGTGTCTGTTTTTCAATCACACCCTCTTTAACGTGATTTTTCTTTATACAGTCTGTCAGAATCTCTTTCCATGCCTGCAGGATTTATGATTTCTTGAAGATACAAACCACTCCTGTTTCCCCTTCAAAAGAAGTGATCTCTGACATTTCATTGTGTCTCCAGACAGCAAAGCATTGTAGTCCTGGGTAGGAGGCAGAGGAGGGAAAATTTTAAACATTCAATTAATCTGTTTCCTGTTGTCTTTTTCGCTTGCACTTGGCTGTTGTGGTAATGGGCACCTGTTGTGGGGGTTTTGGGTCGTTTCTTGTCTGCCTGCAGTTCTAGTTTTGAAGCCATAGTCATACCTGACACAGTGAAGCATCTGAAATTTTCTGTGGTTGCTAGTGGGCTGGCTCTCTGCTCGAAGGGAAATGTCTGCAGGATCTAGTCCTGCTGGCTCTCTGGCTGTGTCCTAAGCAGCGCAACCCATGTGCAAGCAGAGTGAAAGTCTGTGTGGAAGTCTGTAGATGAGGAAAGCACTTCAGTACAGAGTGATACGGCTCCTTTGAGCTGCAATTTTACATGTATTCCAGTTCCTCATGTAGGGCCTTTAGTGACCTTGAGGATGAGCCTTCAAACCTGTCTTGACTGTCTTCCATTACTGCTCCTTGTGTCTAGAATGCTTCTGAGCTCCTGAGAGGTATCCTGGAAAATTCTTTTGTCAGAAACTTGAGGTTTTAACCCCGAGGCTATTTGCACCTGAGATTTCCAGGGATCGCTCTAAAACTTGAAATAAACATTGCAAACCTTAAGCTGAAAAACTTAGAGGATTTGGGCCCAGATGCTGAGGAGTGTACAGTTCTGTAAGTCAAACCTATAATAATTTGATCATGATTGTATTCCTGTTATGGGAATCCCAAGATTCATAGCTTAGTCTGCCTTGGTTTTAAGTACCCAGTTACCTTTGGGGATGTTTGTTTGAATTAGAGTCATATAAGGGTTGGCCACAAGTGGATTTCATTTGGGAACCTTCACAAGTGCCTCATTTGTCATTAGTGCCTTTGTTGGGATTCCTGACAGGGACTTGACTGCTGCTTGGTACTGAGTGGGTGCTGGAGGGGGCTCAGCTCTTGTAAATGCTCTCCCTGACTCAGCTGGATGATCAGCTGATGTTGGCTGTGACCTGCTGGTTCTCAGATTGAGCTGGTTTTGTGTGGCCTCTCCCGTGCTAGTTGAGCATGTTAACTGTGAGCTGTGCAATTGCACATTCCTGTGCTGTGGAGTTAAAGCCTCTGGTTGAAGAGGGGCTTCACTCTTTTGTTGGAATTGGTCTCATGTTTTGCACAGAATGAACAGTGGTCACAGCCTTGTGTCTGTCTGTTAACAGGAAATTTAGCTGGGTGATGTCCAGTTTTGGGCAGAAACTGCAGAAATGAATTTTCTTGCTTGGGGAATTAGAGAGTACTTGGAAAATCCAACTTGCTTTTAGAATCCCTGTCACTAAAGCTCTTGCTCTGATCTCTGTTTTCCTAGGTGAGGATCGCATTGATGTCCTGTCTGAGATCTGGGATCACTATTTTACAGAGACTCTTCCTACACTCCAGGCAATATTCTACCCAGTCCAGGTAATCCTAATTACAGTTCAGTCAGGTGAAGCAATGTAGCTGCAATGCCTGCTAATGGCAAGTGGTAATTCTCTGCCAGCAACACTGTTTGGCCAGTGGCTAAATACATGTCAAAACTAAACTAAATCTTGGAGGAAGTAGAGTTTCTCCAAGTATTAACTGTAAGAAGCACTGCTAAAATCTACTGAACAAGCATGGTGTTTTGGGCTGAATTTATTTCCAGTTGTCTACTCTCTGTGCTTAGCTAAGCTTGCACACTGAAGCTGTTGGACTATATTTGTATTTATCATTCCTTCATTTTTAAATAGCGGTGACTGTTGGTGCAGATGACCACACTGACAGCTTATCTTAGAGGTATAAATCTGAAGACTAGATCAGGATAAAATGTGTTTAACGCACCCTAATGGCTTTTGAAGGGCTTGTATCCCATTTGTGCCTTTGGGAAATCCTCAGCTGGGTTTTTGAAGCTTCAATAAGGGGACATGTAAGTCTATGGATAGAGGAAGAATGAACACTTTATGTGAAACCTTTTACGCTGGGTATTTTGAAGGCTGAGTATCCCATCAGAAGTGTTGAGCTGTATCATTTTTTAATGTAGTTTTACTCAGAGTTTCTATATGAGCAGTCTAATTACCTCCCCAGCCTATTTTGACTTTTCTGCCATCAGAGAAAAAGAAAAATGTACCTCATGTGGAGAATGACGTTCTTGCAAATGCTAGCCTCTTCCCCTTGACTTTTGCCTCTTCTGGAGGACATTATTTCCAGAGCCTTTTAAAATTATTTTTCCCTTGTATTGTTTGAAAGGCAGCAGGTAAATCTCAAAGCTTGCCCTTTTCCTCTAATCCTATTAAAGCTGGCATTTCCTAAAAGAGAAAAGACTTCTGCAAAGACAGACACTAACCTTTCCACTGTGTTTATTTTTGTTCTTTCTGTGCTGCAGATGCTTGAAGGTAGGTATTTGGCAGGTAAAACTGCAGCTATAGTACCCTCCCTTTCTCTCCTTTGGCAGCTAACTCTCAGTGAGGGAGTGACCTATTTAAGCAGGGGTTTGTCTGCCTTGCAGCTACCTGTGTACTGTGGAAGCAGTTGAACTGACTGTGTCATACCCACTGATGCTGATAATTCTGCCACTTACCAGAAAAATGTACTGCCCTGCTATTAAATGTCTGTGATGAGAAATGGGACAGCAGTTACAACACTGTGGGTAAAGCTTTTGGAAGTAACTTAGTGGTAAAAGGATGACTTAATGAGATGTTGAGATTCTTTGAAAGCGTAATTGTTTTGCTGTATTTGTCCTGTTGCAATATCTGAGTCATTCAAAATATATCAGCAAAGCTGTAAAGTTTGGGAAGTATTGCCACTTTCTGGATGAGGAACTGAAAGGTAAACAGACAGGATATTTAAAGCTTTGTAGGCACCTAAGTACTACACTAATGTGTGGATTAAACTACCTAAATACATCCAAGAATTTAACTCAGAGTGAGCTGCTCTAGGCTACCACAGAGATTTGCTGGTGCAGCAAGAAATAGAAATTGCTCTTATGCCAGGCCAGTGTCCTAATAACAAGATTGGGCTTTTCCTAGAAATAGGGAACTGTATGTAACCACTTATGTGGTGTGTCACAACATGTGAGGAGAGCTCATCCAGCGAGTGCCTTCCATCACACTGCAGTTCTTTGTACACTGCTCTGGTAGATGGGAAAGTTAATTTGTTCTTGATTCCCTATCCTTTCCTGCAAATACCAGCAGGATTTTTTAGTTGTGCTCGTCTGTGATCCCAGCAATTACCTATTCAGAATGAAACTGAATCAGCCACATGTGTGAGCATATGTTACCAAAGGCAGTAACTCACACCAGCCCCATATCTCAGCTAAGTTTAACCCCAAGGCTCGTAGCTCTTGCAGAAATACGACCTTTAAGCAGCCAAGTTGGTTAAATTGCTGTACAGAGGGAAACTGTGTAAACAGGTCACTCACTGGTTTTGTATAGTTGCAGCTGTTGATGTGACTATTGGTGTGGAAAAAAGAATAGCAAATCTTGTTTTGCTTGGCACAGAAACATATTTGCATTTTGAAATGGGGCATGAAGTTAACGGGACTAAACTGCATAATAAAAATAAAAAGTTTGCAGCTGCTGAGATATAGTTTCAAGATAGGTACTGGTCTTTCCTGCATGTTTTTCCCCTACACAGTGATGGTTTGAAACAGCAAACTGCTTTTTTTTATGGCCAAGCTCCCCTCCGTACTATTGGTTTTAATTCATATTTACATATTGATAATGCTGTTAATCATGACATGCAACCTGTTATGAATTAATGATTACCTGCTGTTAATTTCTTCTAGCTAAATATTTGCTATGTTATGAGTGCTAAATATTTGCTATGAGTGTGTTATGGAGATCATAAAATGATTCCCAAGCAGACCATGGGGCAGAGATTAACATACTGAGAACAAAGCAAACTTTTCAGGCTGGAAAGTGCTAGGCAGGGCTGGGAGGAAAATTTCTGCTACTGAGTTGCAGTGGGGCAAGAGAAAGTCATGCAGATATTAAACATAGCAGAGGGGAAGGTGGTAACACCAGAATGCCAAATGGAGTCAGACTGTGTTTAAAAATGCTGAGATATATCATCTGTTAAGCCTGCTCACTTGTGTTGTTGATGTAAAATAGGAATGCCTTGCAGAGGATATTAAAGCTGTTGCTTTTTAAAACTGTGTTTGGTTCAAGCAGTCTTGCTAGCTTTCCTCCAGCTAAATCCTAAAATCTGTAATGGACTAACTTGTAGATTTTTGTCTTATCAGCAAGGTCAAAAGTGCAGATGTTGAGCAAAAAGAGGGTACAGTATAGGTCAGAGGTGGGTTCAGTTAAGAAATATTCTGAAACAACTTTGTTCCCTACCAAACCTTCTCTGCTTTTTCAGCTCCAAGTGCCAGAAGCACAAGCTACATCCAGCCTGGGCTTTTTTGTGAACAAATTGGATGGCAAGTGGGTTTTATGAATACATACATAGTCATTTGGTGAACTACAGGCCCATTTCTGGCTTCACTCCAAACCTAGTGGTGCCACAGATGAGGCGATGCCCACTTCAGAATTTGTGAGACTGAGAGGGAAGAAATTAAAGAGCATCACGAATCCTCAACATGAATGACGAGGGGGTGTTCTGCCACAGCAGCAATGGGCAGAATAAACTCTCCTGTGTGCCTGTGTGTTGGTATGATGCTTACAGTTCCCTTTTTCTACACTTGGATTTTGCCTTCTTTGTTTCTTTAGGGTCAGGAGTTGACTATCCGTCAGATTGCTCTCCTTGGCTTCAGAGACTTGGTCTTGCTAAAAGTGAAGTTGGAAGAAATCCTTCCCCTGGTCCAGACAAGGGTTCCAGCTTCCATTGTCCAGATGCTGTTAATTCTGCAGGTGGGGAACCTCTGCTCTTCTTCCTCTGACTCACTTGGGTATCTAGACCTCGTTGAAATCATACAAACACTGGAGGAAAAGTGGGGAAAGTAGAGGGTGTGATGAAGGGGGTGTGATATGTGCTTATTTGGGAGTAGTCAGTGTTAAAATGTGAGCTGAATTTGGATGCCCTGGGAAATTTGAATTTGGAGCTTTCCTGGGAACAGGTAAAGATGTTGCCTTGAAAGAGCTGGGTTTTGGGGGGTTTTTTTGGTACCTCTCCTCTCCATCTAGGAACAGTGTCAGGACTCTTTTTTCACACAAATTTTCAGCTTCTATCTTGTCCGAATGCCTCTTTGTGTCCTAATTTTCCTGATTTCTCAACTTTGCAAGGACAGGGCAAATGTCCATCACATCAGATAATGGAATTTGGGATGGACTGTGGCTCTGGCTGCTTGACACCAGCACCTTGGCTGGCTGGGATGCTGAGTAGTGCCCATTAGAGCAGAAATACCTTTTGTCTGCAGGCAAAATGAGAGGCCATCTTTCAAAGGCCTCTCCCAAGAGATGTAGAGCATCTGTGGTAACTATCCTCTTTATCCAGGTCTCAACAGAATACTTTCCAAGCATGCCAAATATAGCCGGTTTTGGTTTTTCCTCATATTGCCCAGCCTGACAGTTCTGAAAAATGCCGTCTTACATGTTTGAGTTGATAGAATCATGGAATGGTTTGGGTTCGAGGGGATCCTAAAGATCATCTAGTTCCAACCTCCTTGCCATGGGCAGGGACACCTTCCACTGGACCAGGCTGTTCGGAGCTCCATCCTGCCTTCCTCTGAACCACGTGCAGGACCTTCCATTTGGCCTTGTTGATTATTACAAGGTTTGCACAGGCCCATACACCCATGCCTTTCAAAGTCCCTCTGCGTGGCATCCCTTCCCTCCAACACACCACACAGCCTAGTGACTTTTATTTCTTCTCCAGCATAATGGGTGTCTGAGAATTAAACTTTATGAAGCACAACCAAAATTGCAAAGTGGCTAAGCTGGTAGTTCTGTATGAACTCTCACTGTTCTGATGTTCCAGTGACCCAGACTGGAAGTGGAGGTGATACTAAAGTGCTACTTCAATTTCCCTGAATGTTTTTTAATACAAGAATCTTGAGAGCAAAGAGGACCTCAAAGCAACACATGTGAGGAAAAAGCTTATTGAGGCTTTGCAGGAAGTCAAGTCTGAACGGTTTCTGAAATTGCTGTTAAATTGGTTGGTGTTATCTACCATCTTCACAGCTGTAAGCTGAACCACAGAGGGTGCTTTGCCTGCAGTCCTGCCTAGGGAAAGAGCAGTGCTTTGCCCAAGGTGTGTTAAGGCTTTTCTACAAAGAGGTGTTTTCTGGTAGAACCACCCTGGCATGATTACATTGCTGCAGTACACTGTGCACATCCTCAGCGTGAGCACACCTCGTACCTTCCTGTCACTTGCTCAGAAAAAAGAACTGCCTGCTCAATGTCCATAGGGTGTGGCTGTAACTTGAACAAGGAGATTGACCTGAAAGGCACCCAAACCTCCATCAGCTCTAAAAGCTTTACTGACACAGTTGGGATATTCCAGTACAGAGAGACTGGACAGACCCCAGACTTATTCCAAAATCTTTTACGGGTTATGTTGACCTTTTGTGTTTTGATTTTCAGAGTGTCCATGAGCCTACTGGCCCTACTGAGGGCTACCTACAGCTGGAAGAACTGGTCAAGCAGGTGGTATCGCCATTCTTAGGTTTGTGTGAGGATCACAGCTCCTCTGGTAGCACCTGCTTGCTTGGTAAGAAATGCACGTTGTACTGAAGCTATTATTGGGGTACACAGGCTGGGTAACAGGAGGCATTTGTGCTGGAAAAGGAAACAGTGCATGACTCCAATGAGAGACAGAAAACAATGGCTGAAACACCCTTGAAAAGGCCCTGATTAATGTTTCTGGATACAAGTTTTTGTGACAGGCTTTTTCTTGTCCATGACCTAGTGAACTATTAGTGCCCCATCACTGCACACAGACCCCCACAAAGTCTCCCCTCTCTCTGGACATGGACTGGATTTTAAAACCCCTTTGTCCATGCCTGGTGTACTGTTTTCACCACAGTGAGAGACTGTACCTGGTGCTTTGCTGCCTGCTTCAGCTGCTGCATCAATCAGCTTTTGCAAACAGCAGAACTGTTGCATATTAATTCTGAGGGATGACAGGAATTTTGCATAAAGTCTTCCTTCCATCTGAGGATTCTGTTTAAAAAAAACCCAAATTAAAATTCTGTGTTTAAAGTGTGGATAAACACATCTAGGTGAGAGAATGGGCACCTCACTTAAGGAAGAGCATGCTTATTCTGGGAAACTTCTTCACGTGATGCAGGAGCTCTGCTTACACATGTGGCCAGCCAGAAGAGATTGGCTAGCTAATGGGCATAGTGTTACTGATTTGATAGTCAAGAAGATTTAAATAGAACAAGTGAAGAAAGTTCCAGTCTCCCTCTGTTTTTGCTAGCTTTAGCCTTTGCTTCAGTGCAAAATTGTAGCAAGCTGGAGACCCACAATCTGTTTTGTACTACACTTAGCAGCATATGGGCAAAGATGGGCTTGTGGTAGAAGAACTTACTGGAACTCAGACAATCTGTGCCTGTACTAAACCCATGGCATTGCTTTAGGAAAACTGTGGCTCAGGATTTTTGTTCTTGTGGTTGCTGGGCAATCAGATATCTTCTGTGCAAGTGAACATGGTTGTACAGTTCAGCATGGATTTGCATATCTGATCCTAGGGCTCAATCTAGACCAAAATCCCCAGTAAAAGTTGGACTTTGACAAATGTGATTGCTTTGCTGTTTATGGACAGCTGCATGCTGCTGAGATGGTTTAAAAGGTAGCTGCCTGACCTGTGCTGAAGTTCCTAGCCATCCTGGATTTCTGCCAGCTGAACAAGGCATTTGTGCCATTAAAAAAAAAATAAAAAGGAAACCTACACAAGCTGGCCTTGTAAAGCTTATATGCCTTAAAATAATTGAACTTACTTTGATTTTAGCTCTCATTTATTTGTGTATATTTCCAAAGTGGCCTTTTACCCTTGCTCCACCCTGTGCTGAGCATGCGGAAAGAAGGAATTTGTGTTTGCAGTACAAGACAGGGACTGCAAACCAGCACTTTTCTACAAATAATCTTGGTATTTTCACAGTGCTGCTATGGAGGTGGCTTCTATTCCTTAACTTTCACTTGTGATCAGACTTCTTTCTCTTCCCTCTCCCTCTTTCAGTCACCTTTTTGTTTTCTCAGAACCGGTTTCTTCTCTCACTGGACAGCTGGTAATGATGATGAAGCCCAGTAGGTTTCCTGTAGTAGCTTTTGGGAGAGGGTGCTGTTGGGCTTTGGGTGTGCTTGCATTCTACACAGCTGCTCTGGAGGCCAGACTGCCCTCTGGGCTGGAGCCTTCAGGGTAAATGAGTGTTGGGAAATGTGGCTGAAGCTGCCTGCTCCCAGCTGTGAGTATACATAAGGCTTCAGCCTTGCAAGGCTGCTGTATCTTAAGCTGATTTAAAGCAGAGAGGTGTGAAAGGGACAGGACCCCTCAGAGAGGGGAACTGAAGATGGCAGCATTCCCACCTGCTCTCTTAGCACCCTTTTGCTTTGCCTGTGTAAATTAGCCATAACCTGCATGGTAAGGATGGAGTATGCCACGGGATCCAGCTGGCTAAGAAACAGGGTTTATACTGGGGATAGGAGAGAAGATAGAACAGCCACACATCACTGCTGATCTGAGGTTGCTGCAAAAAAGTCCCAGAAAAACTCCTCCCAGTTTATATTCCTGGTCATAAGGCACCAAAATAAAAATGAAATTTCTAGTTAAGCTATGCAGAACAACTCCCTTAAGAGACTGTCTTTTGTGGCCAAGAAAGTAAAGGGGGAAAAGTAAAGCAATAAATGCATATTCAGAGTTTAGACTAATTTCACCTATTTTTTTTTCTCAAAAGAGTCATATCCTAATGCCCTTTAACACTACAGCTTGCTGTGGCTTGAGCTGCAGATGAAACCTAAAGAGAGTATTTGCTGTAACCAGTCTCATAAATTATTTTTGCATACTCTTAAGTGTGAATGAACCATTTTTAATTGATGTATTACAGACAGTACCAGCATGAGGTGTTGGCTCACCTGTTCCTCCCTGCAAGAAATAGTTTGTTTTCTGCTTTTCTTCCTGATACAAGCTCCCAAAACTCTTATGACCTTCAGTGATTAGTGCTTTGCTTTGCATTTTGTTACTCTTACCTTCTGCAGTCTTGGTTGGAAGCCTTTTATGTGGTTTAAAGGCTTCTGACTTTATGAAATGAGATCCTGTATTTCAGTGAAGTTTGTGAGAAACAAAGAGACACAGGGAATGGCTCCATCAGGTGCTGCAGGGATAGACCCACAGGAGATGTCCAAAATCACATGGTGCATTGCAGGGGGGTAGAAACCAGCAGGTGAACAGTAACAGTGTCTGATTCAACCTGCTGGGGTGGGATTACAGTGAGCCAAGGCAAAACTCTGACCCCTGCATTCCTTCAAGCTTTCAGTGTCAGAATTGACACGTGCTTCATAGTACTGTGCTGGGGACTGCACCTTGGGACCATGATTTAGACCTGGCAATTTTCCTCCTTAATGTTTTGCTGAGCAGATTGTACAGCCCACACCCACCCATTCTGTGTCACTGCTTTTCCTCCTCAGCACAAATACTGCCTTTCCCTTGTGCCCCTTTTCCCCAGGCTGTTGTGGACTGTTCCTGTGCACTCTTAGGTATTTTCTGTGTCCAGGCTCCAAACCAGATGTGTTGCAATGTGGATGAAATGTTCTTTTTCTGGCATGATCTTTAAAAAATAATGCCAACAGAATGGCCTGTTCCTAGGCAAATGTAGAGACAGTGCAGTGTAAGCATCAGGAATTTTACATTGGCAACAGCTGATGGCACTTCCTGAGAGAATTTTTCAGGAATTCCTGAGAATTTTTCAGAGACCGGGATGGCAATTCAAATCCCCAGTGAATGTGTTTTTTAGAGACTTGTGCCACTGTAGTGTCACTTATTTTAGTGAACCTGCATGTGAGAGTACCTATACCTGGTCTTCACCCCTTGATAAAAGAGAAGATTCTCAGGATGCTAAAGAGTCCCTTGGCTGCACTGGTGACATTTTGGCTCACTTCTCTCGCAGGCACCAGCCCCTGCAGCAGGATGGGAGGTCTCTCTGCTCTGGGAGAGGCAGATCTTCTTTCCCAACACCTAGCAGTATGAACTAGTGAGCTCCTGACTGTTTTTCGAGTGGTAGTGCAGTGGGGCACTCTGCAGCTGCACACTGAATTCTCTGTTCCCCAGCCCAGCAGTGTGGCCAGTGCTCCATTTGCGTGCTGTTGACCATTCCTCCTTCCTCTTTCTCTTCCAGAGAGACGGTACTCCAGATCCTGCCCGAAGGCCCTGACCCCGCTGACAGAGCAGGAGGGCGAGGCTTACCTGGAGAAATGTGGGAGCGTCCGTCGGCACACGGTGGCCAACGCTCACTCGGATATCCAGCTCCTGGCCATGGCCTCCATGATGCACACGGGAATGGTGGCGGAGGAATCGGACACTTCTGACCAATGCCTGCTGCTGCAGCCCAGCTGCTTCGGCCACAGGCAGTGCTCCAGTGAGCCCAGCATTGCCGACGGCCCCGAGGGAGCTGTGCCTGCAGCCAGTAGGCAGGAGCCTGCCCAGCTGAACTGCACCTCTGTCAGCTAGGAGGAGGCTGGCTGAGCAGTGGAGAACTGTATGCGCCAAGCTGGACAAAGTGGTGTGTCATCCCTGCTGGGAAAAAAAGAGAAAAATAGGAATTTTGCTCATGTCATTGAAATGGGCTCGAGGGTTCATATGGCTGAGGATGCTATCTAGATAGGTTCTTTTGCCAGCCTGAGATCATTGTTGATGGAGGTACCAGGCTGCTCCCAAATGACCACTGAGGGCTGCAAAGGTTTTGCTGTTGAACAGCACAGTCTGCCTTCTGTAAGTTTTCTCTCTCTATTATTATAAACTTTTTGGCGTCAGGTTTCCTTCTTTTTCTTTGGTATGATACAAATTGAGTTCTTTCTGCTTTTCTCCATCTTTCCCAAAAAAGTGCTTCTTCTTTGTTCTTTGTCCCTGCAGTGCAGGCCTCTGTGCTCAGTGTTCTTTTGCTTCTGGTGCTTTGTAGTGAGTGCTGAGCACCTAATTTCTCTTTTAACGATGAGCTCAGGGATGAAGCCGTTTGCATCCTGCAGAAAGATCTGCTGAGGTGGCTTGTGAGAGGAGGAGATCCTTCATTTTGCTTCCCATGGGCATGGATGAAAAGTCCAAATCAGAATTGATCAGATTTACTTTTTTCCCAGGCCCGAAGAGAACCGAGTATATGTGGAGTGTGAGCTGAGTACTTCATATGTACTTTATTTGATTCCGGTCATATCTTGGGGATTCTGGTATAAATTGGGTACATAGGATGGCTGGGGTGTGTAAATTGGGTGCAAATGTACTGAGCATCCTGGCACTGGGCATCAATTTGCTCTCAAAATGTCAGTGTTGATAGGGCTATGATGAAAGAGAAAATCAAATGGATAGGAGATGCTGCACTTGTGTGGGAGATGTAAAGGTGCTTCTCAGCACTGGGCCATCGTTACTCCAGATCGGGAGGTGATGATCAGTATTTCATCCTGGGCCTTCCCTGGTACTTTTAGCACTCATGGATTTCATGAGACTGAGGACAGTCAGCAGGGTGTGGAAAGGAGTCGTGGCTCAGTGTATTCATGAAGTGCTCCTGACCTCCAGTGGTATCTGACTCAGTGCAGTATTGCTTTTAAGATAAAGTGAGGGCTCTTTGCAGTCTTTGGTTTTGTTTTTATTGTAAAGATTAGGAGTGGGTCTGGTTTGCAGGTGTCTGTGTCAGGCACTGCAGCCCGCAGCGTCTGCTTTGTAGCATCGCTTGGTGCTCCAGTGCTGCTTCTGTGGGGACAGAGCCAGTCTGAGCTGTCCCTGGGGTACTCTGCTGATGTCTTGCTAAGCAGATTTGCAAGTGTTATTATAGGCTTAGAGGTGAACTGCAGTGCTGTCTTAAATGTCAAATCCCATTAAAAATATGGACACTTGAATCTACTCCAAGTGGTACTTGGTAAATAAGTGTATCTTGACAAGGAAGCAGAAGGTTAGGATGAGCCTTTGGGATGTTTTTTGAATGCTATGACATTAACTGCAGAATTTTCCCTGCTTCTCTTGGGCATTAAACATCTTCTCCATTGGCTTCACTGGAGTACAGCTCTGACCTGCCAGGATTTGGCATTAGTAGCACATGCAGCAAAAGGAGAGCTGGATGGCAACAAAGCATCAGAAATACCAGCTATGAGCACAAGCCATGCTGCCTTGATAAATGAGGGTGTTGCTTTGTCTGCTGTGGTTTGCAGTGGTGAGACAGGTACTTGGAAGAGCCTCCTTTTCCCTTCTGTCACTGGAGCTCTTGGCCCTTGGGGAAAGGCCGAGTGTTTGGATCACCAGCTGTGCTTTCCATGTCAGGAGAAGAGGTTCAGTTGTGCTGGCTGCCTCCTCCTCCTCCTCAGAGCACCCACAGTCCAGCAGAGGCCAGGAAGATGTGCCTTTAAGCAGCATTCCCTTCAGGTGGATTGTAGGATAAATTGCTCTCTTGTTCATAAATTGGACTGACCAGGCCAACTTACTGCCATGTGCCCCAGGGCAGCCATGAGTTGTGGTGGAGTTTCAGAATCTCTGTGGTGGCAGCCACAGCATGCTGGACTCACCTTGGCACAGTCCCTCCAGCGTGGGGCAGATGATGGTGTCCTGCTCACAGTTAATTTCTTTGGCCCCTTCCTGTGATTTAAAGTCTTCTCTTAGTCACACCGAGGTGTGTGGGAAGTGGTTACCCTGCAGCATTTCAGTTCACTCTTATGAATGCTTTTCTTTCTGTTTCTCCTGTAACCCATTTGCATTCTGTAAATACCCAAACCATTTTGATTACAGAGTAGCAGCCTCTTTTATGGTGAAAACTAGAATGATATATTTATTTCCGGACATATTCTTGGATCATCTCTAGGGCTAATAGGAATTAGTCCTGGTTTTAACTTGAATTTCTTTTGTTTTACACATATGTATGATTTTAATTATTTTGGTTTTGTATCTGTTACGTTGCAAAAATTTGCACCAAGCCCTCTGAATCATGCACTTGCCCCATTGTTTTGTTTTTACGGAGAATTAAAGCTGGTGGCTTTACTTTGTGAACTGAAGTAAACACAACCTGTTCTGTGAACCACACCAGGCGTATGGTCATGACCACCACTTTTACAGCCACGTGAGATTGCACAAGCCTCTGCAAGTGCTTTTCTTTTACAGGCTGGGTGAACCTAAAGGGTGACTGGAAAGCTGTGCCATGGTGGCAGTGTGAGGCTGCCCTGGAAGGGCCCTGGGAACAGATCTGAGCAGCAGTGCTGAGCAGCTGCTCTCTGCTGAGGAAGCTTCCAATCCTCTGGAAGCAAAGACTGTCCCCATGCCAGAGCTGCAGCATGAGAAACACTTGCATTTTGGATACAGGGTTCTGATTTGGGGTTGCACTGTGTTGCTGACCATGTCACATGGCTGTGACAGGGCCACAGGGTGGGTCTTTTCTACCCTCGTGGTCACCAACTTGAGAAGACCTCCTGGAGAAGCTGTCAGAATGGGAAGAAGGAATTTCTCTCACCACCTTCTGAAATCCGTTACCTTCTACTTCAATAATGACCTAGACTGAATCCCTTCTCATCACACTGAATCCGTCTTCCTTTTTTACTCTGTCTCCTTCTTAAGGTAAGTGGTTTATTCTGTGTCCATGCATCATAAACTTATTGATGGGGCTATGCTTAGTACCACTGGCCATTTTCCTGATATTCCCCATAGCCAAACACATGTTTTTATTGCCAGAAAGCAGAGCTGTTTCTGGTTCTAGCCATGTGGACAGCAAGTTAGTGTGGTTTTTTCTTTTTTTTTTTTTTTTCAATCAGAAGATGTGCAGTATATCTTGCTGCTGACACTGATGGCAGCAGGGTGAACACTGCAGGGTTTGGGTTGCCTTTTCTTTTTAGGTCCAAATGGAAATGGGTTCATCTGGAAGGCCTTTTGACACTTGCCATTGAGTCAGCAGATGGAAAATATTTGGCTCTTAGAGGCAGCCTGTGTCCCCCAGATAGGAGAAACTGCAGGTCTAGTGAGAGACAAATTGTGATATTTATGGTATGCTTAGTTATGCAAACTTCTTAATTTTGCTGTAGTCTCAGTGTAGGAAACCTTCCTAACTGGACTCCCTGTTTCTTCCCAGCCTGGCTCCTTCCCCATGCCAGCAGCAGGACTCCTGGACCTGGCAGAGTGCATCTCCATCACCCTGAAGGAAAGTTGTGTGTTAGATAAAGCCACCAAATGGGTGTCTGAGCTCCTGAAAGAGGCCAGGCTGGCTGTGTTCCCTGGCTGCCCCTTCCCCACTTGGGACAGGTCTGCACAGAGCCAGCACTGCTTCCCACTCAGGAAAGCAGGTGAGAAAGCAAGACCCACCCTGGCATGGATTTCCCACAGTGCCCAGGGAGTTTCCATGGGGTACCTGAGCTGGAAATTCAGCCCACAGTCAACATTCTCTGTAGGAAAGTCACTGCAAATTTTCCCATTAATTAAAAGTGTGAAAGGCAGGGTATTTGGTATTTCCCTGAGCAAAGAGGAGGAAATTAGTCATCCTGTTCATATTTCAAATATGGAAGGAGGATCTGGCAGGACAAAAATAGGTTAAATGGGATATTCTTGCTTGCCCACACATTTGGGAGAGGGCTTTCTCTTCCCCCTGCGATCCCAACAGCTCCAGGTAAGGGCACCAAGCATTCAGCTACATAAACAAAAGTTTTAAAACAGAGGCAGGAATTTTTAAAGCAACTTTCCAGCAAAGGTACAGCTCATTCTCATCAATGTGGTGCTCAAAATGGCATGCTGTAAAATAACTGCCACCTGAAGAATTGGCTGCCTTTTATTCATTACTTGCATCTGAAGATACCTGGAGTACCCTTGTTAGTTATTTCCACCTAGGAGAGCAGGTGCTGTATCATTGATGTGCCAGGGTACATCTCTCCTGTGTGTAAGCTCACCCCTTCCAGGGGGCTAATCCTGCCCCAAGCACTTCTTGTGAAAGCTGTCCTAAGTCCACAAGGAGTGGCAGCTCAGCTGTTTGAGTAGTTTGGGTGCATTTCTCCAAACCAAGTGATGAAAAAAAGTGACAACTCCAGTGCATAAGTAAGTGAACTGACAATTGTCATTAATTAGCAACAGTTGCTTGCTGTGCATGGCCAACACGATCTTGGGGCCACAAATATGGGCTTGTGTGTAGGAGACTCACCTGTCTGGGAGAGAGCAGTAAAGAACAGGTATATGCAGGTAAAGGAAATAGCTGACTAGATTAATCTTCACCTGAATGATTGGTATAACAGAAGGTAGAGGTTTAATTATAGTTTGATCACCAGACTTTGCAATGAGCAAAAGGAAAGCAAACTCCTTAAAAAAAAGACAATAGCTTGAAGGGTCCCACCTACCCTAAATTCGTGCCATAGCATAGAGCAGATTTTCTGTAGATGTGATTTGCAAGAGTATTCAGAGAGTTGCTGTTTGAAGTGTCTCTCATTTGGCTTCAAACTAATTCCCTCTTATGCTAAGAGCTAGTTGATAATTCTTGTGGCATAATTATTATAGACCGTGCAGTTAACAACCTCTGTTACGTTGGAAAATAGATCGGAGTCAGAGAATCATTCTTTCTGAGCTTGAAATTTATGAAGACAGCTGCAGTGGCTCACACACAAGACTTTTCTGTGGTTGTTGAGTCTTTGTTTTTTTTTTTTTTTTTTTTTTTTTTTTTTTTACTTTTTAAAAAACTTTGTTTTTTTTTTTTAAACCTGAAAGAGTGAGTTCTGTTAGAATTGCTTGGGCTTCTCAAAGACAGACCAGTTACAAGACTCCCAGTCTTCAAGTCAGTACTGCAACAGGACTGCCTAGAAAATGACAGAATTTATTTATATTAAATGTCAGTAAGGAACCACAGACTGTGCCACAAATCACCTGCCCTGCAGGCCTCAAACTGATTTACACCCATTCCTTCTTCCCATTCTTTTTCACTGGGAGTTTTTAATCCTCTTCCCATGAAAGGCTTATTGACTAATATATCAATGGTTGTTAGAGTAGAAACTTGTTCACTCTTGTTCCCTGTGTATCTATCTCATGGCTTCACTATGACAAGTGCTAAACCTGTCTTTCTTCAGGCACATCTCAGGCTGATGGACTGTGTATTTGCTGTGTGGTTGGATATAAGAGATGGGAGGGTGGGAGAAGCTGTTCTGCAGGAGAGAAGTGACAGTATGTGTGAAAAGTGCCTCTTAAGTGGTATATGCACCACATCTACAAAAAAACCTCTGTTCTAATATATTTTGTTTTGTGGGAATGGGAGGGGAGTTCTGATGTGCATTTGGAACTTTGAATCTCAGAGGTTCAGAACCACTGTCCATTAGAAGTTTGAGTGAATGCAGAGGATTTCTTGTGGTTTTCCTCCATCCTATTGCTTTTTTCAGAAGACAGCAGTGGATGGTGATTACATGCTGAGCATCGCTGTGTTCAGTAGTGCAGATGGAGCTCCTCTGAGCTCCTCCATTCAGCCTGTCACTGAATGTCATCAGTCCCTCTTCTGGCTCTTAAATGTTCAACACCCCTCTTCCCTGAGAGCCCTGCAGCAGACTGCAGAGATGCTGCCTGCTGGACCCACAGTCCTGGTGAAATTCAGTGGCTCATCTTCAACAGCACTGTGGTAAGGAACCTTTTCTGTCTGACCATCCAGGAGCTGCTCTGACAGTCACACTCCCACCCCTGAGCTGTGGGAAACCCAGAACTGAGCTGTAAGGAAACCTTTTCTCTGACTGTGAGCGTGGGGTGTGCAGCAACCCAACAAGGGCACCCATGGGGTTACTGGAGCCACCCACTGTGAAGGGGCTTTGTTCCCAGCAGTGACAGTCTGGAGTGGTGGGAGTGTGACTGCTGCAGTGACTCCTGAATGGTGAGTCAGGAAAGTAATAAATAAATACAAATAAATAAAAACAAAACAGGAAAGTTTCCTTAACAAGATCAGGGAAAAGGAGCTGCCACCATCTAGTCATTCCCCTGTCAAAGTGTCCTGTAGTTGTTAAAAAAGTCCTGCTCTTTGAAATCAAAGTAAATGCTGCAGTAAATGAGACCTGAGAGCATTTGTCATGAGCCTCCTCCTAGCTTATTGAAATGTATGAGCTGGTGTGAACAAGACAGCCATACTTGTCAGGCAAACAAACAAAAAAGCCCATTTTCAAAAGCTTATTTCTTTGGCTTTACTCAATGCTTAATCTAATCCACTGTTTGTCTGCAGCAACATAGCTGTCCTCCTTTGCCTGGGGTTTACAGCGTGGAGAGGAAATTGTTCAAGATCTGGACCTCTCTCATCTCTTTTCTTTTGTTCCTGATTGTCGTGGTGAGCTGACTGACTCACTGAGCAGGTGATGCCTTCAGAGGGCAGCAGCAGCCTCTCTCCACTCCTCCTCTGGCTTGGCAGTGCTTACAAAGACTCAGCTCTATAAGAAATAGGATGAGGGTCCGTTCAGCAGCAGCAGTCCCCTGTTTGTAGGGTCTGTGGAGAGACCAGTGGAGCAGAACCAGGCCTTTGAGGGAGTGACTATTTACTTTGCAGATGTGTTCTTCCTACTTTGCTTGTTTGGGATTGCTCTTATTGGGGAAGCCTCCAATGGGCTTTTGAGAGTCTTAGGAAAGCAAATTCGTCCCTGTCTCTTACCTTCCAAGCCTGCCCTCCCTTCCCCAGGCTCTGCCTGGGACAGTGGCACTTCTCACCCTCTGTCCCTGCTGTGAGCACTGGGTGCTGTGGAGCCTCTGGCTCGGGTTGTACCTGGTGTTACTGCAGAAAATTTGGGTTTGGGAGGAGGAGGAGAGCACAACCCATGGGCCAAGCCCTGAAAGTCTTTTTTGCAGTGAGGAGTGCAAAACTGAACACAGGATTAGAGATGCAGCTCAAAGGAACTATGAGTAAGTACAGTTCCATGGGAGAAAGGCTTACCCACCCTTTTACCCTTTCTCATTTAGGTAAGGACATGTGATGGTGTTGGATGCACAGTTCTGCCTCAAAAACCTGGGGACAGTTGGACTGCAGTGGGGAAATTTTCGTTAGAATTTATTTTTCTTATCTTTGTATAGATACATTATTATGTATTACACATGATCTATTTATAGCATACATTTGTATATATTGAATACATCAATATAATACTACATTTAATAATTTAAAACATGTCTCTTTATGTATATAATATCTTTTTATTTTTGTATTGAGTTTGTTATCTTTATAATTATTTTATTTTATTTATTTAACTGGACTGAGAATATACAGGAACCAGAAATAGGCAGAGATTAAAATACAGCTCCTTTGCATCCACACCTTGGTTTCCACTGCTGTTTGAAAGCAGCCAAGAAACCCACTGTGGCTGTTTATCACTGTCCTGGGTGTTTGGTGGTCTGACCTCCCTTTTCCCAACAGTACTGATTTACCTTTCAGGATAATTATACTTCTACCCATATAAAGTCTAAATCCCTTCCATTCCCAGAAGATCCAAAAGTACACACTGTACAGATCACTGAGATGAATTCAAAATATTCAGCCCCTGTATTTTATCTAGAAGGATGAGTACAGGCACATGCCCCTATAAAGGACTTTTGCATGAAGAAACTCAAGCTCAGGGAGTTGTTTCTAGAAGGTGAATCACACTGGAGGCACTTGCTTAGGCAAGTCTAAACTCCACACTGTGAAGTTTATCACACCTGGGTGTGATACTGAAACTAGGAACACTTGTATGTGTCACTTTTCCCTGGCAGTGCCTTTGCTCCTTAACACTCTGTTAGCAAAGGCCAAGGTCGTACCTGCCTGAAACTATTCCTTTATTAAAGGCAGCAACAGAAGCAAAGTTAAATCTTGGAGAGAAACAAGTCCATGCAGGCAGGAATACCGGAATAGAATACAAGTGCTAACTCAAGCATACTGTTGTAGGATTTAACAGGCCAAACTCCTGGACTTCACACCTTCACCTGATACTTGCTGTGTGAGCAAGCAGAGAGAGGAGCAGCTGAAGACAGAAGAGAAAACCAGCAAGTTACTAATACTGGTCTGTAGCAGGAGTCAGGACTCTGCACATCAGGTGAGACAAGGAAAGGTTTGTGTTGTTGCCTTTTTCTTTTTTTTTTTTTTTTTTTTTTTTTTTTTTTTTTTTTCCCGTGTGTCAATTATCAGCTGAGTTTCATGGAAATCAGGTTCTGTCTGAGAGGGCAGAAACTGAAACCTCACATTTTTGGACAGTTTATCACAGGGCTGGAAAGATATCTGTCCTGCTTCTAATCAGCTAAGAGAATGGAGGAGGGTTTTTTTTCAAAATTGTCAGTACCAAACTGCTAAAACACTGTTCTGTTTATGCCTTGTTCCCTTCACTGTTGAGTGGGATAAATCTCTGGACAAAAGCCACCACAAAACATGGCTTATTCTGCCCCAGGCTAACACGTGTCAAGTCTGGCCAAGTCAAGTCAAACCTGCTGATACCTCAGAGAGAAACTCTCAGCTGGAATCTTCAGGACCATGGGTACACCAGGGCTTTTTCCCTGCTTCATCAGCAGGTGACTGGCTGCAACAACCATCCCCCTGGTGTGGCAGAGCAGCCAGCTCCTGGAGGCAACAAAGGAGCAGCGAGAAATCACTGAACTCAGGAACACTGGGGCTGCGTGGCCTCAGAGATCACTCAGAGCACAAACCAAAAGGAAAAGAAGGCTCATTAGTTGAGGCTGGGACTGTAACTAATACAGAAATTATTTTCCTATTGCACAATCTCCTCCTTGCACACAGTTTCATGAGGTTTCCTATTCCATGGAAGAGGAAAACCCCCAGCCAAAATGCAACTTTCAGAGCTGTGAAATGCAAATGGTTGTTTCAGTGGAGCAAACATGTTCAAAGAATGTGATCACCAGAAGAGCAGACAAGGAAGCAGGGCCCCAGCATTTGAACAGAAAGATTATTTTCACAATGCTGTAGCTCAGTCTTTATTTGCTCTGCATTCAGCATGCACTAGCAAGGTAAATTATTTTTTACAAGTTTTTTTTTTTTTTTTGAAACAGAAAGAATTGCAGTCTTTTAGAAGTGTTGAGAAGTGGTGATGACAGGTAAACTTGGGATAAAACATCTGCCTGTGTGCTCAGAGATGTATATTTACCAGGTGGTTAGGTTTAATTGTTAAGAACTTAAAACCAGTAAAGGAAAAAGACCTGAAGGCCACAGCTCCTTACATTTGGTACTTCAAGGTCACTGAGGCTGTCAGGTCCTGTGAGGGTGGTGATGGCAAAAGGGTTGACTCAGTCCAGTTGGTCAAACTCTCCCTTCTAGATGGAGTGGACAAAGGCTCAGTGGTGGTAAATGATGAGGGTGAGACCAGTGCCAGGGAAATGTTTCCTTTGGTGTTTGTGCTAGCATAAAAATTTCCTCTTTGAGTGGTAAGAGATTTTTGGTTTTTGGTGGTTTTTTAATCCAAGATGAGTAACAGGCAGAATTCATCAGCCCTCTTACTCATTTCATCCAGACAGGCCTTAGATTCCCTCAGCACCATTTTTGGTCCATTAACCTCCCTTTGTATTGCCTTCTATTTGCTGCATGTGCCAATACCACACTTGACCTTTTTCAGGGCTGTTTCAGGAAGTTTTATTGACTTCTGTAAATGCTGTCTTGGACCAGACTAAATAAGTCACAGTTCCTAAATGAGACAGCCCAGAAGAGCTGAAGTTTAGCACAGTGTAGTAAGGAATGGCACAGAGTGTTTCTCTTTCCAGCCAGAACAGCTAGAGTGTTGGGCTCCTGCTTTTTGGGGATGAGGAAGGTGGCAAAGCAACTGGCTTGGCACTAGTTAAGGATTTCAGCTAAAACAAACACATTCTTCTTGTAAAGTCACTGCAATGAACTGGTATTTGTTCAAGAAAATATCCAGTCAGAGTATCCTGGTCCATATCTACTTCAGCCATTTTTTTCCAGAAAGGTACATGTACATTTGTACTTACACAGGTGAGAATGTGCTCCTATATTGCTGCTCTGCTGCTTCTGCACATGGACTTTGCATTCCTGGGGCAGCTGCAAATGCCAGCTTTTCCTACTTAAAAAAAAAGTCATTATTACTCCATCTCACCAAAAAAAAAGATTTTAGTGCACTTAAAATATGGAACACTAAAAATGGATTAACACAACAGAGAATCAAAGTCTGAGCAAGCCTTCCTAGCCATTAATCATGGAAGCTATTAGGACCAACCTGGATGAAAGACAAAGTCATAATTAACTTGACATTAACAGCACATTGCTGCAATACCACTAACGTTACTCAGAAGAATATTAAGATTTTGAATATCCCTTCCTGCAGATGCTATGAAAAACAGATTCAGGCTGAGATAAATCAGAGATTGCAATAAAGTCTGTACCTCTCTTATTGACAGAAGAATTCCCTCTAGTACCTGAGCTCAGTCTCCTGCAAAAAAGTTTCAGTCCATAGTTGCTTTTATGACAAATGAAACAAGCAAGCAGATGTGGCCAGAGAGGTGACAGTGTGCAGATTTTTTGATAGTTACATCTTAAATTACAGGATGATTATGAGAACACTCAGTTTATTATTTATTACATGAACTGTATTGTCTAGTAATTAATAAAACTATCAACACCCTTTATAAATGCCAGAAGGTCTTTATCTTGAAATATATTTTGTCTTCTTGATGCTATATGATATTACCCACCTCTGAGACCCACAGTCCTGTATCAGTTAATATTTTTGAATAGCCCTCCATATGATAAAGATGCAACACGCAGTGCACAGTTTAATTAGTTTATTTTTTAAAGTTCTGTCAGAAATATAGCTGTGCATTAATTACAAAATATATTAAACTATCAATCAATTCATCCAAGGGAACAGGAGTACTCTCATTTTGTTCAAATGCAAACCAATACAAACCTTTAACATTGACACAGAATAATATTTTGCATCCATCATTAATGTACTTGGTCTGCTGCCATCTCTAAATAATAACAGAACGGTCACCCTGATTTCATTTCATTAGCAAGTTTAATCCCTTGATAGCAAACATGACCAGACACATCATGAAACTGCTTAAAAAACAACTCTACACATCTCACATTATCTGAGCTCCCACATATACATTACATACCAACATTTTAGCAAAATAATTTTCCCTGCCCTGCAGGGGAAAACATTCAGAGGCAAAGAGATAACATGTTCATAATATATTATAATTGGAAAATTTGTGCTATAGCAGCTCTGAAAATACACGTACTAAGAGTGGGTGACTTACCATGTTAAAGACAACAGAAATTCGGAAGATAAAAGAAGCTAAGACACTTTTTAAACCACCTTGAGATCTAGTAATGCTGCAAAGCATTGATTTACAGAATGAACCCCACTGCTGAACAAGTTACACAGGACATGGGTTAATTAAAATGTTTCTTTGATTCAGTGACAAGTCAATGCTGTGGACCTTTCTCCTTCCATTTAAATCGTTCTAGCAATTATACCTCAGTCCACCATGGTAAAACAAGTTTTCAAAAGAAGATTTGTAGAAAGGGGAAAGAGGAAAATGGAACGAGTACATGAATAAATATTTAATTAACATTTATATAGTCTTTTTTATGACTGTAAGATTTAACTGATACTTAGAAAATTAGCTCTGACAGTCTCTCTTGCAATACTCTGATATTACAGTAATTTGTCATCACTCAGAGTTCTAGTTGGTAATATAAAAATATAAAACCAGTAGAATAGCAGCAGTGAATAAAGCATCCATATTACTATGGCCAATATAGAACTACACATGCAGTAGCCTTCTATTCCCTATTGGCTTGTGCTATTGTACAATTTTAACCTGAATCATTTAAACCCTGCCACCACAGGGAGTCTCCTCCTCAGAGGCAGAAGTACATCAGATCTAGCAGATAAGGCTCAAAGCAAAAATTCCATTCAAAACGCAAATCTTCAAAAGCAAAGAAAGTGTTAATGCATTTAGTGGGTCATGGGTACAAATAAGCTGAACAGACAATAAGGACATTTTTCTTTTCTATTCAAAGACATTTTCTATTTCCAGGGCTGAGGAAGGACCTGGAGTAGGAAGAAGCTCTCAAATTATAAGTGTTTTTTCTCCCCCTCCCTCCCCTCCTGCCCCCCAAAAAACAAGAAGGGAAACAAAAGAGAATGGCAGCTTTTGAGCATCTTGAACAAACACCACTAGGTAGCACAGCCTGAAAATGGAGAACACGTGTACAGTGCCTTCTGTGCAGTGGCTCTGTGCACCGCCATGGACATTGACAGCTCTTGGTTAGGAATGGCTTTAATGGGAGTGCTCCAACTGCAGACACTCCAGAACAATTCAGCTGATAGGATGAGGCTATTCATTATAAAATCTGCTTTGTTTTTAAAACTGAGATCTTTCCCTATTTTGAGAAACATGCTCACCTGTCCCCTAATGACACAGAATCAACTTAAGTCACCAACAACTAACTGTATTTACCATTAGCCAGGAAATCCATGTTTCAGTAGTGACAATACTCCATTGAACACAATCCCTCTTCCATCTAATAGGTTCTACTAGCAGAAGAAATTTTACTGATTTGGATATAATGAACAAAATGGTAGTTTGGGTCCTGGAACTTTTATCTCTCATGCAGGCAGGCAGAGTATCCTCCCAAACACTAAAGTATGGTAGTCTTTCTTTAGTCTTGTTTATATTAAGCAATGTGCCCTTTCCCCACTGGTATTGCTTTGATGATGCCAAATAGTTGGAACACTCTTCAGTATCTCTTAAGCTGCAGTGTCTCCAGTCTTTAGGTTGTTTCACTAGCTTGGATAAATAATACACATAAGCTCATGCATCGTTTAGTTCTTTCTTCAGTATCTGGACATGTACTTAGGTTATGGGGTGAACAAAACTTTTTTCTTTCCTCCTTTTACAGACAAGATTCAGAGCTTTATCAGCACCATGAAAGTTAAAATTCTTAGCACCAGTGTACTTGAACTATCCAGCTTTGACTGGTCAAAACTAACATTTACATGGCATAAAATCAGTACAGAAAACAATAATACGCACAGCATTAGGAATCTCTTTGACACACTGAATCTAGTGTTTGATAAAGCAGTAACTATGAAAGCCAGATTTTCTTCCTAAAAGCAAGCAGGATTACAATTTTTCCTCACAATGCTGAATTAATAGGCTTTCCTTAACATCCAAATTGCTGAGTTGGCCCAGCTCCTATTGTCTAAAGGGACAGGAAATACCGACAGCAGCTGGATGCTGATATAGCCAGCTGCCCACAGGGGATGACTTGGGTACATCACCCACAACACCAAGAGATCACTTGAACAGATGCCGGCCACCAGTTCAGCTTTGGTATAAATTCGGGTTTCAACAACAGTAAAACAAATTCTGCATCACCCTCTCTGTTCAGTACATCCCTTTGCTCATGTCTGCACTCTCAACCTGAAACATGTCCAGCACTAGGAGATCCCACCAACACAAAGGGATTTCATTCAAATGCTAAACTTTCATATCTCTTGATGATTGTGGTTGACATTCGGGGCCTAGAGCACACACTTCTAGAAAGATTTATCAAAATAAAGAGAATTAGGGAGGCACCTTCAGACCACATTACAAATATTTCTTCAGTGAACTCAGCTCAGAATGATTTAGCCTTCTCCACAACATTACCTCGTATCTTTTGGAAATACCAACATCAACTCTGCATCAACATGCAACTTCCTGAAGGAGGAACGGCTCAAAGCATATCTGAACCCTTGGTGACATGAACAGTCTTAACCCTAACTTCAAACTTCAAGAGACACATAGCCAATGCAAAATTCTAGATAAGTCAATACAGAAACTGTCTCAACTTTCCCAAGCTCTGTGAAAAGTAAAAAAAGAAAAAAATCCCTCATCTTTATTAATTTCGTTCCTTCCCTGCAACAGCATCTATTCCAAGGCACTGAGGTGAAAAGGTCTGTTTGATATGACTAACCTGTTACAGACCTGAGATGCACAGGTTCTGCAATAGGGTTTTCCTGTAGGCAGTTTTGATTCACACTTCATTTATTTAGCTTGCTACAGAAGTAGCTTATTATTTTAAGAGAGAACCTTACCAAATATTTAAACATAGGACCTCATATAGAGAAAAATATACCAGCAACAACAAAGTTCCATTCAGGTGAAGATCAACTGTGTTGGCAACTATGATCTTTTACAAACCCAGCCTTCGTGGACAATGAAGCTGTTTTGTGATCCATGTGGAAAAACACGAACGAAGCTCCATTGCTCTGTTAAGACTTGCAGGCTACATGGCTCCATCAGTGCTGCGGGCCTGGAAGCCTTCTCTGCGGACACTGTTCAAGTCCAGGCGCGTGAGCACCTCGCAGCGCACCAGGAGCGTGTCATCCTTGATGAAGGTTCTCTGTTTCAAGGTCTCCAGGTGCATGAAAGTCACATAACCAAAACCTTTCGGATTGCGGTGAATTGTCGGTCTCTGGAAGGCCAGTAGCTCTGGCTTGGTTTCCATCACCTCTTCGTGGTTCTGCCTTTCTGGGCCTTCTGATTGATCCAAAATAGAAAGTCGAATGGTGCCTTGGAAAGGCCAGGGCAGGTGGCTGTCATACTCCCCTTGCATAGTGTGCACAAACAGAGAGATAAAATTAGCACAGCGCTGAGCATTTGGTAACTGGATATGCAGGCGCAAGCACAGCTTGTAGCCAGGCTTCCCTGTATAGAAGCCAGGACTGTGTATCACTACAGGTCTCTCTTCTTCCTGGGCTTTCTGCAGTCCACTGAAATTCTCAATCTTCCAGATATAAATACCAGTACATTGTTGTGCCTCCATTTCAGTAATCTTTCCCTCCAAATTTCTTATAGTACGTTTGAGTTCTGCCATGTGAGTGTTCTGAGTCTCCATTTTAGCAATGAGTTCCCTGATTTGGTGATCTTGTCTCACCAGACGACCTTCCAACTGCTGAATAGTTTCCTTGAAGTTTTCAACTTCTGGATTGCAGTTGTATGCAGCATGTGACACGTGTGAGAAGAGGGCAGGCTCAAAGGGCAGGCCATTGAGGAAGGGTACAGGATTTGCAGCAGTAACACTGATGTTCTGAAAACTCTGAGCCATCATCCTCATGTGAACCTGAGTGAACTCCTGCATATGTCGTGCCAGTTCATTCCTTTGCATCTAGGATTTAAGAGACAGAGCATCAGGAACACATCAAACATCTGCAATCACATTTTAAATGTGGTTCTGAGAAAATCAAACAAGTAGTTTCTTGTGTCATGTGAGAAAAGCTGCAGTGAATCAAGGACAAAGGCGTGACAAAATAGCACTTTACCAACGGAGAGCTGCAAATTTAAGATGACTGTTAGGAAAAATTGAAAAAGAAGTTCAAATACCAGTGGGCAAATCACAGAATCATTTAGGTTGGAAAAGACCTTTAAGGTCTTTGTGTCTTTGGCCTGATGTCGATACAGCTGGGGTTCAACAAAAGCATCAATATGAGGTGATTTCACCATAAAATTGCAAACCTGGGAAGTTAAGATAGAACTGACATAGATGACTGCAATATAAATCAGGTATGTGCATTATTGTTTTTGTTGGTGCGGGACTTTGGGATGTCACAAACATATTCTTGTTAGAATATTTATCATTAGTAACAGCATATTGTATAGTTGCATAATTCTATGTAATGTTTAATAAGGGAACCTTTTATTGTATTTTTACAGAAGCTGCAGCATCTCCAGAAAAACAATAAAATTTAAATTTTCATGTATTCAGGGTCACCTTCTTGTTAATAAGCATTCATGATAAAAAAATTCTGGTTTTGTAGGAGTGATAATTTCCCTATGAGTCCATCATTAATTATGGTGTACATTTTCAATAACACTGTTCAACTCAAAACAAAGACATGGTGAGAGACTGCTAGTGATAAATGTATTTAGAATTTTTCTGTGCTCTAAATCGGCACTGTATTCCCTTCACTGATTTGCTAAAATGCTCCAGAGTACCAAATGGTGTATGAAAACTGATGTGGAAATGAAGGGGAAAGACCCAATTTTACCAAGAGGTATCAAAAACTAGAAATAAAAGTATCTAGATTAACAATTTTAGAATTTAATAAAATTGATTTTCTTTAAAGAATTCTAAGAGTCATAAGCGTATTTCGCCACAACTTTGTAAGAAGTGCTAGAAACTGCTTTTTGATATGAAAGCTGAGAAAACATGAAATAATAAACCAAGGTCATCAAGCAAATTATTCACAGAGCTTTTTAAATTTGAAAAAGCAATTCTGAAATGCAAAGTATCAACATGCACTGCTTTAGAATTAAGATACCTCCAAACAAAAAACCCACAACCACACATCACTGAGGATTTTGGGTTGATGAATGAGACCAGACTAGGAAAACACATTACAAAAGCAACCAACAAAATCATGCAGACAGTTTGCAATTCAATAGTTACTGACAAAAGGCTTACCTTTTCAGGACACCCAAAGGCACTGTAAAAACATGGCACTGGGGCAGTAGGACAATCATTGTCATAATGGTTAGGCATCTAAAACAAATCAGATTTCATATTACTTCTCCATCAAGAGTATTTTCTTATCCAGAAAGGATACAGCTGGATGGGTTTTGAACAGAAAAGTTCAAAATGTACTTGAAGTCAGATCAGTTTATATCTATGTAAGTTCTTAACAGAATATGGAAGTTTTGAACAGAAATGTTAGCTGATGATAAAAATTATCCATCCCACTTGTATGTACTATAACAATTAATTGTTATAGTACATACAAGTGGGATGGATAATTACTAATACTAATACTAATTCTTATATTAGGCCTCAGAAAGCATTCAGGTTTCCTTGCTAGACCAAACACTTTTTGTTTCTAGCCTACCCTCCAGCCAGGTCACATTCAATTCCTTCCCTTCTGAAGGACTGCTTGCACACTAGTATTATTGTGTCACTCTTTATCATCTTCCTCAAAAAGTTCAAGTTATTTCAACTCTTTTTGTGGTCCATGTTTTCCAGATCCAGGATGAGTCATCTCACTGCTCTGGATCCTGCCTATCCACCCTCCTTCAAAAGCACAACAACTTCAGCTGATGCCTACGAGTCCTAAACAGAGCAAAGGATAATTCAGTGTTTCACAGGCAGAATCCCTGTTTATATAACCCCAGGTGTTTGCCTTGTTTAAATATCATGAGGAAGCACAAGGCTAATAAAGACCAGCTATTATTACAAATGTTTAGCATTCTTTGTTCCCCACTTCTGCAATTCATTATTCTACCTAAAAACAGACTTTGTCATTACTAAGCTCAATCCTGTTTCTCAAGAGTATTTTGCAATTTTACAAGATCATTCTTTATTTTAACCCAGGCCATCAACATAGTTGCCATCCCAAATTAAACAAATCAATATTTATCATTTTCCTGCCAGTTAAGTTATTATTGAACAGAAGAAATAATAATGGCTATTACAACAGTCATGGACAAGCAGAATTCCAGCCAGCACCCCAGTTTGGTAGTGAATTTACTTATAGCTACTTTCCAATAGTGGCTTTGCAAGTACAAAAACTCCCCCTCTCTGCCCAAATCAAAGCCTCCTCTTGTAATGTCAGCCATAACCACTGGCAGTTGGTATTTTTTCAACTCCATTCAAGATCAAAGACATGCAGCATGGCCCCTGTCAAGAAGCAGTACAGCTGAACATTGTGATGGGCAGCCAAAATCCTACAGAGGTTTGCCAGACTGCAACTGCGAGCTGGAGCAGCATTTAAGGGAGTATCACACCTGCACTGGACATTTTCAGAGAGGCAGGTAGTGATTTAGCAGCTAGTAGACAAACTGTATCTCCAAGTTTAATTTCAGATTAAAGAAGCAATGTAAAAACGAAGCATCTGACTTGGAATAAACAGAGACAAAGGGAGTCTCTTACCTGCTCCCTGATGAGCACTGTGTTGCAATATTCACAATATATATTGGCAAGTGGGCAGGTCTGGTCATGAAGCTTACGTGATCAAACAGAAAAAAAAATGGGGAGAAAACATCAGTATAATTACTCAGTTTAAGAGAGGGCTAATCACCCTTGATCAGACCTAAGATTTTTATTTATATACCTAATTTTGCATTTAGCTATATGCAGCTGTGAAACAAGGAGAATCCCTTTACCCTAAACAGTATGTTTTACATTACTCCTTTTTCCTGGACTTATACAAGAGATTCATAAAGTTGTAGATATTTTATTTCCTAAAGCTCTTATGCTTCAAAGAAATCTGATTTTAACCATAAGTTTCTAAAATTCATGTTCAATTGTATTGGAAGTATATGAAAGCACTTGTTTGTTTTTTAATTGTATTGTTGGACTATATGAAGCGCATTTGATTGACAATTCACAATATTAATATCCAAGAACATTCAATAGTCATTGAGATAGAACACATCCATATAGAGATAAAGAAATGGCAACAGCAAGAGGAAAGTATTATTCTCAGTACCACCCAAGTGAAAAATGCAGAGCCAGGAGAAGAATTCAGAAATTATCTTGGTCTTGTGTGGTAGCAGATATCCCCAAAATAGTTATCTCCTGGTATATCCTCTCTCCCAAGCATAAAAACTGCACATGTAAATACTGCTTTTTGTGTTCCATGGGCAGTAGATACACCTGTCTGATGGTAAGGTCAGAAATCAGTGGTTCTTACACAAGTCCACAAGTCTCCTCACACCACATGGTTCCACATAAGTTTGTGCTTAAGGACAATCTCTCCCCTGCTTTTGCCTGTTCTAGGCTGATGTTCTGAGTTTGCAGCTTCTCAGCTGTGCAGCAGCACAAAGAGCTCTTCTAGACCAAAACCTTTCAGCTGGTTTTCTTTTTTTTTTTTTTTCATTGCTGTTCCCTTTCCAAGCAAACCCATGTGAATGCAGGCTGACAAACTGAGACTCCTGCTAAATACCTCTTTATCCTCATAGGCCATAGATGTGGCACAGTTTGGGCAACACACTTGACGCCTCGGACACTCTTGGGTCATGTGCTCCTTCAGACGGTTCTTTGGGAAGGTTCCTTGGCACTGCAGGCATTCCACAGTGGAAAAATCACACTGCAGCTGGTGGTCCTGCAGACGGGCAGAAGAGGGATTTGATATTTCAAATCAGAACAATCATCTCATCCATTTTCAAGAGAAAGCACAGTGCAAGACAAACGAATCACAATCTTCCCTTCACGCAAGGAAATCCTTATACACTTATGCTGACTCTACCAACAGCCTGTTACTGCCCCACTACTAAGGTCAGCGCTTCATGTATTCAGAGCTTAAGAAAGCTCTCAGTAAAAATTTAGTTTTATATTTATCTTTTTAACTGCATATATTATTTTCCAAAACAATTATTTCAACTAATATATGTAGCTACTTTGAGAGACTATTAAACTGACTTTAATAAACTTGTGTGAAGCACGGATATAGCTGATCAAAAGGCAGACATGAATGATCCTCAGCAGAAAGCTGCGTTAGCACAATTGTCATGCACTGCGATGTTCACTTGAGAATCACCTAACTACAATTAAATACTCATTAAAAACCAATATGTGTAGCTATAATCCTGAAAGAAAAATGCACTGAGTCAGCATAAATGAGTACCAGGTATGACCATCTATTTAAGTTATTTCGAATTTTTACTTGCCCATAAAAACAAGGTTCCATATTTTCAAAACTACTTCTCACCTCTAAGTGCCTGAGCTCCATCTTCATGCTGCAGCCCTTGTTGGGACATTTGACCATTAATGAAAGGATTTCCCGTTTGGCAAAGTTGTCAGGAAAAAGCTGATTTTCAAGCAGAATTTCATTGTCTACAGGACATTTGTGGCCTGCATCTCTACAATGCAGAAAAGCAAGGAAAGATATCCAATATTACCAACAGAATTCCAAGCACTGAATTTAAAATATTTTTACACCAACAAGACATTAGTGGCCAAATAATAATACAGTAAGATCTTTAAAAACAATGGTATTTATGTGGCAATAACCAGAAAATATGAAATGTATTTTAGAAAAAATGAAAACACACAGTTCCACTGGAGGTGGCATGACTGGGGTTGCAGCACTTTTCAAACTCAAACACATTTTATTTGTACAAATGGCATGTTAAGTACTCTGGAAACAAACTTGAGGAATATGTAAAGACACTAAGAACTTGTAGTCCTTTTTCTGCAAGTACTTCACATAGCTCAAACATCAAAGAATATTTCACATACTATTTCAAAATAATTACTTAAACTTACTTAGACCTCCTCTCATTTCCTTCTCATTTTATAAACAGCCAAGGTGACCACAGCTAAGAAAAAAAGCAAAATTCTTTTTTGCAGATTGACTTCATCTGTTTGGCATTACATTTCACACTGCTCAGTTTGCTGGTTTTGTTATACAACCATTTTGATCAGCTGGTCATCCTTCAATTTCATCATACAGCAAACAGGATGAAAACCTTCAGACACAAAAATTATTAGTAACTATGAAAATTACACTGTGTTGCATCTGAAGCCATTTTAACAGCAAACAGACTGGAAGTCAGTGCTAACTGGTGAAGGTTTGGAATCTGATGGAACATGGATGCCTACAACCTGCACAAGGTAACTAACAGCCTGTTCCAGTTCATCAGGTTATGTCTACCTGCATGTACATACAAAAATCATTAGAAATAGAGTAAAAAAGGGGATCGCCTCCAACAAACTTTCCAGTATCAGCTCATTCTGAAAGCAGTAGGCTAACATATTGATTCACAATTAAGTAATGCAGTTAAAGAGGCACGAGGGATCAAAGCTCCCGAGTGCTAATGGAAACAGCAATAAAATGGAAATAATACATGGGGTGGAAAAATGTCAGAGAGCACTTGTGGTGCAAGGATCAAAGGCCAGATCATTGTCACTGCCTGCAAGCACGAGGGGAAGTAGAACCTAGTGGGCTGTGGAGACCAGGAAGGAATTTATGTTCTTTGTTGGAAAAGGAAATAATTGCTCAGCAACTACATCAGCAACACTGCTACAGGAAGTGGAGGTAAAGTTGCCACTTCAAAAAGAGGTAATGAACTTCCTTTCACAATTTTGCTTGCAGAGCAAGCTCACCACATGCCTGAGAATCATACTCCTAAACAAGTGCAAGAAAGAAAACATCTAGCTTGCCTTGTTTCAGAGCTCCCTGAGCTATGACCAGTGTGATCTTTGTCACAAGTTAGAAATGTTCCCTCACTTGACAACCTACAGGAAATCAGTTTTCACAGGTATAGCCTGGTTACAAACACTCTGTTTAGTGGAATATGAACAGAGCTCAAGAGGCCTGCTGGTAAGACAGCAGCTTTATTTCTACAAAGAAAAACTAATCATTAATAAGAGCAGCCAACAACAGATTAATTTGGAATAATGATTACCAAATCCTCAGTTTAAATAACTAGCAGATAAAGGGAAAAATAAGAATGAAATGCAATTTTCCAAATTAGGAAAGCATAGCAGAAAAAAGCAGTAACTCATTTTAGGATATTAAACAGGCTTCAAATACTATTTACAAGGCTCAGGATTGTGTTTAAAACACTGCTAAGATCCATCTACAAAGATGTTGCTATGTATTTCCTGTGACAGAATTGAATTTATGCACCTCAGTTCTAGCTTACATTACAGTGAAAGCTTTCCTATGCTGGCATTATTTATCACATTGCACTCTGCCACTCACAACAGTACCCGTGAAACAACAGCCATCTGCTACAAAGTACAATGAATATTCCTGTAAATTCCCTTGAGATTAAAATACAGGTATCAAGAGCAAAATCAGAATAATTTTGAAAGAAAAGCCTGCCCAGTGATTTTAACAAGTGAGCGGTTTAGCCGAGAAGCTGAGACAGTTGGCAGAGACTTTAAGTGCAGCCATGCCAGCTGCTGGAGGAACTGCCAGCACCCAAAGATGTCCCTGCTGCCCCTTGTTACCTCACAGCTCTGCTTTTCCACTAAACAGAGGTTCTGATATTTGGCAAGCTCTACTACAAACCCTAAATCAGCTTTGCCCTAAGATACAGAAGAAGACTGGAGTGAAATTGAATTAGCTACTGCACCTGCAGTTAGTTCTTCTAAAATTTCCAGCAATATATTTTGTTGACAAGTAACATTCATAAACACATTTGTAGTTACTTAGGTAGATAATCTTCTCTTCCATGAATTATAGCACTTCAAAGCACTTCAGACATCTTTATTTAAAAAGCTGCCAAGACTTTCTGGGAGGCAGACAATTACTGTGATCAAATCTCATCTAATGATGTCCTTCACACTGTAAGATTGAAGAGTCCAGTTTTTAAAAGGTTTTCCAATTTATTCTTTTCTAGTTGCAGCCACAACTTCTTCAACACAAACAACTACAGTTGTTTGTGTAAGTCACAAGAAGCAATTACTCAAAAAATGCTTGTCCATCCTTCATCATTTAAAATCCATAATCTCTGTGTTCACTTGAGTTAAGACAGTGGGGAAATGAGGAATAAAGAGAAACAATTTTTCCTGGTCAAATGAAGGCTGTGACAATCAGTGAAAAAAAGCAGTACTTAGAGAATGTAAAATATCACTTTCTCTTTTCATTTTAGTTCCGTAGAAGCTTCTCAATAGCTCCATCAATCTGGTACTGTAGACAGTACATACTGCAAATCGATACCATACTGCAGACACTACATAATCCAAATCAATAGCTTGATCTATGGCTACCAATTAAGCATGCAGTTCAGCCCTTCAGGGATTCAGAGAGGTCAGGCACTTCAAGCTGTCCCCCCTGCTTTCACAGTCACTCAGACTGTCCTCCAAA